CTGTTCCCGCTACGCATCTACACTCCGTCCGGTGATGTGCTTTTAGACCAGAAGCTGCCTGGAAGCAAAACAGTGCGGTCTATCTTGCAGACCCTCCGCACAGAAAAGCGTGGCAGCCTCTCGCTGCTACAAGGCACCGCGGCAACTTGGTGGAGCTTTGGGACGGTTCCCGTATGGTTCCAAAGAGGTATCTGTTTCATAGTTGTTTAAAGGATCCTTTAAACAAGTACAAGACCCAGGTGATCCCACAAGGCAAGAAGCTATCGGAGCTGAACCTCAGTGAAGGGGAGGGCCTATGCCTTGTCAGAAGAGCCACAAGCAGGTACACGGTGTGGGAGGACGGCGATTATTCGGAACATCATTTGGTAAAGTGTCTTCTGGTTGGAGCCGCAGAAACCGGCAAGTCTACGTGGATGCTGGCCTTCGGCCGACATAGTTTTACTTCCCAGTACCTGCCGACCATCGGCGCAGCGTACAAAGTCTTGCACCTTGAGTCCGAGGATGGACTCCGGCTGAAAATACAGCTTTGGGACACAGCTGGGCAGCAACGCTTTCGGACAATCACAAATAGCCTCTACCAGCATGCCTCGGGGATCATGGCGTTCTTTTCACTGCACAGTCGTGAGTCCCTGATTGAAGTCCTTCGAATGTTGGAGGAAGCAGAGGGCAGGCATCCTCTGTCCTGTCGATGTGTTTGCTTGGTCGGGACCCATGTAGACATTCCGGACCCTGAAGTGACACAAGAGGAGGCCGAGCAGCTTGCACAACAGAAGGGCTGGCCATTCTTTGTAACCTCGAGCAAATCTGGAGTCAACATTGATGACCCTCTTTTCGGTTGGCTGGACATGTTTCGTGACGAAGTGATTTGTCGGTAGGAGCCAGGGACAATGGGCCCTGAACGAAGCTTGCAGTGCAGGAGCTCTCGAATCAGTTTTTGAGCCTTCCGGCGTTACAAACATCATCATGGCACTGGTACTACTAGTTGGTACAACCAGAATAAGTTGTTTTTCGATTGCCTGGGATTGACATGTTTTCCCGAAGCTGCGATGCCAAGTGGAGTCCGAAGCTCCAACGAAACCCTAAGCTGCAGGCAACAAACCCTATCACGGGCTAGGAATAAGTGGTACGAGTATTCCCTTTTATGGTTATTGTTCACTGTCATTGTTGTTGTGCTGGTGGTGGTGGTGGTGGTGGTGGTGGTGGTGGTGGCGGCGGCGGCGGCGGTGCTGGTGGTGTTGTTGGTGTTTGGGTTGGCGTAGTTGCATTGGTGTTGGAGTTGTTGCGTTTTATTGTTAAAGTTGTTATTATCAGCATGGTTACATAATGTTACACAAATCCGAAGAGCCTGCTGATCCGCAGCTACTGAATTTGACATAGTGCACGGCGTAATGTTGCTCATTGTTGTTGGATGATGGTTGTTGGTAGTGTTGACCCACCTTTTTTATGCGTTCACGGTGATATCTTGCTGGATGATTTCAGAGCATCGGTTGCTACGTGAAGAAGCCTTTTGCTGCCCGCGAGGTCCTGGTCAACAACCTCCTTTGAAGTAGTTTCTTCTTCTAGCAGGTATCGTTCAAGCATCAGCTTAGGCGGATCATGTGTGCATCTGTTCTGAAGCTGTTTTCCGGCAGCTTGTTTTCGAAGTCTGCACCATGCAGAGATCCCAATGTAGTATTCTCTGGTTTAGGGCTTAGTAGATGTCCAGGTGGTGTCTTGAGCTGAGAGGCCTGCGAATTCTGCTCGAATGTGCGTTTCGAGTCATCTCCTTTCTTACTTTGGACTTAATCTTGTCCGACTAGCTCCAGTGTGTCAAGTTCGTCTAGTGTGTTTAAGTTTTCACATCCGCAGTGACGGCCTGCAATTCCTCTCCACAGTATTCCACATGCTCATGTATGTAAGTAGGTATGTATGTATGTATGTACAGATGCTTGCATCTCTGCAGGCCTTGTTGAATTTATCAGCTCTGCTTGTACTACTACGTTTTTTCGGCGCCGTGTACGTGAGTGTGCCTGGGCATAGCAAACCCTAAACCTTGAACCCTAAACCATAACATAGGGGCCCACATAATTACCAACACTTTTTTTGAAGAGTTCCTTATAAACAGTTATAGCAACCCTTAAAAGGAGCCCTATATGCCGCCCTAAACCCTAAACCCTAAAGGACCCCTTTACAGCCCTAAACCCTAAACTCAAAGGGGTCCATAAACCCTGAACCACAGACCCTAGCATCATGGGCTCGCTGCTGGGCACTGCTTTGACCGATATGTTCACGGTGGAAGCTCAGATCCCCAATACTCAACCTTTACAGTTTTCGGGTTCGGTTTAAGGTTTAGGATTTAGGGTTGAAGTTTAGGGTTCTTATAGTGTAGTCGGAATCGGAAAGTTCGACCTTTTATTTCTGTGGCTTATTCGGGCAGTAAGGAAGATGCCCAAGAAGATCCCCGAGATCTCGAGGTCTTCCCAGTGCGGATCCGAGGTTCTTCAGTGGTATACCGTTTTAGGTTCCTTGTTTTCTGTGTTTCCGTTATAGCATCACTAGCCCCGAAATATTAAATCCATAAATCCATAAATCTATATATATATATATATATATATATATATATATATGTAATTATATGTATCTATACACATTTTCACATGGGTTTGCTTTCGCCTAAGGGGCTGCGTAGGTGACCTTTGACCTTTTGGGGCTTATATAATCCTACTATTATTCCAAAGGTTAACTTTTTGGGGGCTAGGGTACCCAGCCCCCCCCAAGACACAGAGCCGAGGATCTTAACCCCTGCTGGCGAGGTGGTTTTCGAGGAGCAGCTGCAGGGAAGCAGAACCGTGCGGTCTGTGCTGGAGTCCATCCGTGAGGCTCAGAGCCCGAAAAATCACATAAGCATCAGCGTGTTGTAGGGATATCCCTGCCTTATCGGGATATTTCCGTACCTTATTGGGCTTCATTATAACGGGGCTTGTATGGGACATCCCTATTCTTTTTGGGGCCTTCGAGGCAGGACCTGGCAAACTCTCGCTGCTACATGGCACCAGAAAAGTTGTCCCCAGTGCGAAGATTTCAGACCTTGAGCTTGCCGATGATGATTTTCTCTGCCTTATCAAAAGAGCCACTGGCAGCTACACTCCCTGGGTGGAAGAGCGCCCATTGGAGGCCGACTGCATGGTGAAGTGTGTTCTGCTGGGGGCCGCATCTGCTGGGAAAACTTCGTGGTTGCAGGCCGTATGCCGGGAAGACATCGGCGACAGCTACAGGGCGACAATCGGCGTAGATTTCAAGATGAAGCGCCTGAAGTCCGAGGAAGGAACTAAAATCAAGCTACAACTTTGGGACGTTGCGGGTCAGCCGCGCTTTCGGCCAAACACGTCGGTCTGCTTGAATGGAGCATCAGGAATCCTGGGTTTCTTCTCCCTGGCTAAGCGAGATTCTGGGTGCTTGTTAAGGAATTATGTATTCCAATGGGGCTTTATGGTGAGTAAGATGATTGCCTGATTTCCTTATTCTGGGACATTTTGTAAATTAGATAAACAAGTTCTTCAACAAGAACCCAGGATACCATGACAGAAGTCATACAGATGTTGGATAATGCAGCAGCCACGCACACCGACTGCTGCCAGTGCATTTGCTTAGTGGCCACGCATGCCGATGTTCCAGATAATGAAGTGACACTGGGTTCTTGTAAATGACTAATTTAAGTTACCATAGTCGGGATCTTTCGTAAATAATATGGATTCCATATTGTTGTACCTTGAACTTATCCCTTAAGCCCTTATAGAACCTTTAAGGGAAGCCTTATATATCCCGATAAAGGTATAACTTAAATTAAAAACCTTTAACAAGAACCCAGGACCGAAGAGGAAGCCCAGCAAGTTGCAACTCAGAAGGGGTGGCCCTTCTTTGCCGTCTCCAGCAGATCCGAAGTTGAACGCATTGACGAACCGCTTTTCGCATGGCTCGACTTGGTCGCAGAGGACATGGCTAGACGCCCTTCTTGACCCTCTGTGCCCTAAACCTGCGCTACAAGAGAAGATGTTTCACCCGTACGTAGCCCTTCAGCGATTGCTTGTAAGGGCGGTGTGACCGTTTCGGAGTTCGGGCCGTCGCTTTCAGGGTCACCGTCGTAGCACTGCCAGCATCGCTGCTCTCGTCATGCTCTGCTGAGTTGTCATATGCTGCAGCGCCACCATGAAAGTTGTGATCCATCATGGACAGAAATATCAGCGTGGTCGCCACTACGGACAATCTGCATCACTACCATGATCATCCTCGTTACCATCACCCGCGCTGCCATGGTCACCGGACCATGTGTTCCAGGATGCAGGGTTAGGGTGTATGGTACCGGGAGGATGGAAGGGGGAAATGTCTGGCGAGACTTGAGCCCAGTGCAAAACATGCCAGGGTCTCTACTCTACCGTGGCATAACCACTGCGGTTGTTGCCATGTGGGGGTTTCCGTAAGGATCCTTATCATAAGGAACCCAAAATAAGGTATCCCGAATTTTCGGAAACCCGCATGTCTGTTTTTAGTGCCGCTCTTCCGCTTTTCGACCTTGAGACTTAATTACAGCACGTGATCTTAAATGCTATGGACCCGAGTTCAACCCTACCCGCTGAAGAACATTTTTCTGTTAGGGCTCCTTATTAAGAGTTTTTTGCAGTAGAAGTCCTTAAAAAGGTAGGTTCTTCAGGTCCAGGTAGAACTTGTCTCTAAACCCTAAACCCTTTAGCACTAAGGCAAAAGCCAGAAAGTTGGAATATGATTATCCTAAACCCTTTATGGTAAATTATAGGGTATCCTACCCTGAAACCATATTCCAACTTTCTGGAGTTCCCTGTAACGCGCGCAGAAACCCACAGGGCCGCTAAATCATAGGAGGCCAAAAGAGGTTTTAGCCTATGGGGGTTTAGTAGGGATTAGGGTTTCCATAATAGGGTTCATATTAAGGAATCCCAACCCCAAGAATCTTAAACCCCCCTTTCGGCCTCCCATCACTAAAGCAGGCACCCCCCGGGTGCTCATCAACGGCACCCCGCGAGACAGAGATCGCACACCACGCGAAGGAGCCTTGGAGGGAGGATTAATTTCATGTAGGGGGACCTTAAGAATTAGAATAGGTTTTGGCCGTATATTATGCTACAGGCTACGGCTATATAATATAATAAGGAACCCACAAAGCCCTTTTTAAATTATTCACGCCCTACATTGCGTTTTGTTTCAGTTCCAGTGTGCTACGAAGGAGTATAGACGGTGTCGTACTTACATGCATGACACGTGTGATTGCTGGTCTCATGCGCATTGTTGGTCTTGTCCTGAGCTTGAGTTCATCGGATAGTTTGGGTTTCAGGGTTTCTGACTTGGGCTGATGTAGGTGTTCACGCCATGTCGTGTCTGACGGGGGTGTGATGAGGAGGATAGGTCAGGACCGCACCCTAGCTCACGTGCCTTTGCAATACTCTTGCTCCCTCAAAAAGGCATCGTGTTCTTTCGGTTTTATCTTGGCGGATTCTGATATATCATGTCAAATTTCAGTCTTTGTTGTAACGGGGGGGGTGGGGGCGCTTCACCTTGGCATGTCGGGTCAGGGCCTTCAGTTCTTGATATGTATCTGAGAAACTGTGTATTATCTTGTGCGTAGGTCAGCTTTAACCTTTTGGGATGTATATAATCATACCATGATTTGAAAAGGTTAGCCTCTTTCGGGCTGGCCCCTCAGTTACTGTACTGAAATTTTATCAGAAGAATGACAAAGCAGAAAGGTGTCTCCTCAGTCGTGTTCCCGAGGAGGTTATTGTTCGTCGTAAAACTGTCCCGTGGCTTGTGCGAGAGTGTGCGCGCAAAACCGCAGCTACTACCAGTCACTACCACCACCAGCGTTCCTACGACATATCCTGAGAGGGACTTAGGGTTAGGGTTCCTCCCGGTTTCCTATATATTCGCTGCGTTGCGATGAAACCCTTCCACTGCAGGGTCGGTATGCCCGAATTTGGTTCTCAGGGGTCGGGTTTGCAGCCCTACGGGTTTTTCGTTGAGGGTCTCGGGTTTGGTTTCAAGGCTTAGAGTCAGAGTTGTGGCCAGCTTGGTGCGATAAGCCACAGCTCAGCAAGAGCAGAAAGGGCTCAGGAGGACTGGCACAACACCAAACCATCTCAGCCCCACAAGTTCGGCCCCACCATACACCCAGGATCTCGGGGTTTAGCATGCTGCTGGTGGGAGCCTACACCCCAGACCTGCTGTTCTGGGGGACTGAGGGCCCATGGACAGTCACAGGTACGTAGTCAATCTGGGGGCTCCAGTGCCAAGCAGAGTTGCAGTTGCCTTGCTTTTAACCCTGCTTGTAGCACCTGAACTTTAAGCATCATTGGCACTGAGCCAGCACCTCGCGCGTCAGACCCCCAGAACAAGATCATGCAGGAAATCCAACAACCCTAACCCTGGCACAAAGAATAGCACCTTAGACCCTAAAAGCCCTATGAAGTGATGTGAGGCAGCGCGCCGGCCAACGGCAGCAATCCCCGCTTCCTGCAGCTTTTCCAGGACATGATTGAGGTCTTAGCGCTCCTTCGAAGGGTTCCCTTAAGGGTTACTACCAAGAGGGTCCATATACACTACGATTATGGAATTAGACCCCCCAATACCATAATGGGGATGGTCTTTTGGGACGTAATTCCACAATGGTAGTATATATCGACGCTCTGGGCTGTAAAGGTCATGATAGTTCGGGCTTTCGGGTGTAAGGGTTCAGGGATCCTGTGGGCTTGTTCTAGACGCGGGCTTTGTCTGGATTTTGCTTACATGTTAAGGGTTTTCACCATCACCGTGGTGGGCTTAGACAGCCAGAAATTCTGTCGAAAGCTGAAGTGAAATCTAGGAGCCACTTGCCCCTTTCCTTCCTGCCTTTTGGAAGCTGTTCCAACTGTACCAAACATCCTGTTGCCGCATTCTGATGGAAGAGACCGGTAGTTCTGCTGAAAAAACTTCTTCGGAGCCAATGGTTTTCGCAGGCCTCCGAGCTTTTCCAACTTTGAGCAAGAATCTTACTTTTGCATTCTCGTGAAAGAACGACAGATCTGCTGAGAACGATTCTCGCGAGATGCTGCAAATTCAACGTCTGGGTGATTGGTTTTAGCAGAGTGTAGCCTGAGTCTTTGCTAAACCTTTGGGGCGTTTCAAGTCAAACCCTTAATCGTGGCACCTCAGGTGGTGTTTAGGTTGAAGAGCGCAGTTGTTGCGATTCCAGGGACGCGAAAATGCGATTTCCTTTCTGCGAGACTCTGAACTTCGACGCCTCAGCTGCATTAGCGCGAATATCTGAAACTCTCACGTCTAAACCACTCACGCTAGGGGTGGTCGGTCGCTCATCCTCTTTGGCTCCCATAATCATAGTGTGGTGCTCCATGGGTCTCAAGGCTCACGGGGCTTTCGGGATAAGGATTGTGAGGGTGCTGAGGTCATCGGAATGTTTCTCCGGTTGTGGGCTTCAGTTGAAAGGTTCAGGGTTTCGGCTTTTCTAAATCCTACACCCTAACCGCGAGACTTTACGCTGATGGGGTTCAGGATACCCGTGGATTCTAGTCTATCGGCCATGAGTGCTGCAACCTCCATGGTCGGTGGCTTCAGAAGGGAGCTGAGGATGGGCAGAAACAGCAACTACACACCTCCCAGAGACTCCAATATCCCTTAATTGAGGAATATACCTTAAACTATAGCAGGATCCCTAATGTGATATATTCCTTAATTAGTGGGTGTCTTTGAGCAGGTGAGAGATTGTCGGTAGTCCTAATCGGTTACAGCACCCTGATAGAAGCATCATTATGGAAGGCTTATGCAAACCTTCGAAACGCACTCACTCCCCACTCAGAAGAACAGCATAAGCCGTAAGCGATCACGTTCGAGGAAAGTGTCCGAACACGTGGACAAAAGGGCGGCTCTAGGATTCATGATCGAGGTTTGTTTTTGCAAACAAGGCAGCTTAAGGCTCGACCCAGAGTAATACCCTAAGGGTCCAAGTACTCAATAGTCATATACTCTCCAAAATGTTAACCTACATTACTACTATCCTAAACCAAAGTACCTGATTATTGGGTCCTTTGGACCCTTGGGGGTGTCAGGTGCGAGGTTCCGGGAGCAGGGTTTGGGGTTCCTAGGGTTGCTGCAGGGAACCTGGCCGGGGCGAGCTCAATCCCCTATAAACCCTAGAGCCCGAAACCCCGAAACCCTAAACCCCTAAAACCCCTAAATCCTGAATCCTCAACCGTGGCCAGGCTTAAAGTTTAAGCCAGAGTCTCTGAAGTTTAGCTTTAAACCTTAAACCCGCAAGCAGGCTTAGTTCCCCAACATCCCGCAATGTCCATATCGTTTGAGCCGAAAGGAGGACATAAATATGATTCTTATGTGGGGGTGAGCAGCGACGCCTAAAACATTAATTTATCCAAAACCCAAAACCCTAACCCCCCCCCCCAATTACATTCATTATACCTCAAATACCCACTATTCGGCACCATAAGACCAATATTAAAAGGCCCTTGGCGGGTCCTGGTAAACCCTAATAATCTCAACTTTCAAACCTCCTCCGAGATTTCTGGACAGGACTCTGTACAAAAGAAGTACCGCCTCTACCGGCTCAAGCAGCAGGCTCCGCGATGGGAGGGGTAAATACTGGCGCCTTACCGAGCGCATATTGTAGTATGTCACGTGTAGGATACTATAGTTTTTTTATAGCATTCTGCAGCATGTTATAGTTTAATTGAGAGTAAATTATGTGTCACATGAAACCCGGAATCAGAGCATTAGATTTCTGGGGAGTTCAGGTGTGAGTCGAAACGCTGAGCTACGCTGGGCTGAAAAATTCTGCGCTCAGGGTTTACATGAGGTGTCTAGAAGCACGGTAAATCTTGCCATCAGAATGCACGGTCCCCACACGCAGTGCAACATGCAGTATGTGCTGACCCTACTACATTTGCCCACGACGCCGAAGCAGGATTTACGGTTGTCCTTGTGTCAATATTTCAGCCAAGCCTTTGTTACGGCTTCTAATGCCTACATTCGAAGTGACAGTGCCTGAGTGCCTCAGCTTTGGGTGAAACGTTTTATAAACCTTCTCAGCTAAAGGCTTATAAGCTTATACCGAATCAGCTTTGGGTCAAAACGTTGTATAAACGCCCTCAGCTACAGGCTTATAAGGGTTTGCGCTTTGCACCCTAAACCCAAAACCGTGAGGACCGGTTCTTTCGACACTTGTGCCGGCATCCTTCAAGCCGAAACCCAAAGGGTCCGTGTATAATCACATCGAAGCCAAGACTCAAAAGCCCTATGTGTCTCTATGCCCACAATAAGCCGTATAATCCTTGAAGGCCAAACGCCCTCAGCTCTGACAATAACCTAGTAGTCGAGTAGGTAACCTTTAACCATTTTTGGGTAGTATAGTCCATCTATAATCCCTACATACCCAAAAAAGTTAACCTTCAGTTCCCTGTGATACCCGACAAGTAGGATAAACACCCCTTTTGCGCTACAACTCCCTTTGGGCAAAAGGCATGGGATGCCGGGCTTCAGGGGTTGGGAGGTAGGATTTAGGGGTTTAGGGTTTAGGGGTTTAGGGGTTAGGGTTTAGGGTTTAGGATTTTAGGGGTTTAGGGTTTGGGGCATTTCACAAAAATGAAAAATGTGATATGGTGGGACCCTTTTTGCACGGACTCCCTCGAAACTTGCGGAAAATATCGGTCAGCAATGCAGCAGCACTGCAGTCTGCATGTTTGAATGCAGGTTTGGTCCGGATGTGTGCATTTACTCTCGAGTTGGGCAGCCTGCTATCACCTATGGCATCATGAGGGGTCTGAATAATGAACAGCATGACATATATTTTGACAGTCCATATATATATATATATATATATGTTTATTTATTTATTTATTTGTTTATTTATTTATTTATTTATTTATTCATTTATTTATGGCATCGCGGTATCATCCAAAACCTTAGCTTAATGACGAATTATCAAGGATCCTCCAAAGTAAGCGGGAAGATCCCGTAATATTCCGCTTGCGCAATGCCGAAGCCTATACAGAATGCCATTATTTCGACTCCTCATCCACAAAGGTTTAGATTTGTGTTGTGATCCTTACCGTAGAAAGCCATGGACCCGGAGTGCGACGAGAAGCAGTTTTTAACGCAGCTTAGCGATGGCCAGGTGGTGCGATTCGTGAGTTCTACTTCACCGAAGCTGACCCCTATGGGGCCCTACATTTTCCGAGCCTACCGTGCCTCAGCACAGCAGCTGAGAAAACTTGAGGTGGAACCTGATCTTGAAGCTTACAGCTTCGAGGTTGTGGATGACGAAGCCCCAGCACTCGGGATGAGCCCCGAACCAGGGAGCTGCCTCAGAATCCTACCAAATCGCTCCCTGGATTTAAAGGGAGGCCGTGGGAAATGGGGCACCTTCGTTATAGCCGCACGCGATGCTGCAGGCGTCGCGCTGCGCTCCGTGGGCCACGGCATCGAGAAGCCGGCGTTTCTGGCTGCCAGCTCCGGCGGCTTCGTCGCCGCAGCTTCGGTTCAAGACCCAGCCAGTCGTTGGCTCTTCCAGGCGCATGTGAACAGCTTGAAGAGGCCTTTCCGGGACTTCGACTTCAGCGCGGAGCAGTATGAGGAATTTGCAAGGGACGGCTTTATGATTCTGAAAGGTGCTGTGGAAACCGAGGGTGTCCAGGCCGCACTGCGGTCTATCAACCACTTGCTCGGCAAGGGCCCGGAAGCATGGATGGTGGATGCCGATGCGCCGACAGAGCCCGGGGAGGCACCGAAGAAGAAGCTACCAACCAGCAACCACCCATCCATCCAGGATCTCGTCACTCGCACTTGCCTTAGCGTTGCCGTGGAGCGCCTTTTGGGCAGTGTTCCCGCCCCGCCTGGTGCGGGAAATCTGGCTGTGCGCTTCCCGGTAATCGATCGGCTCGAGATGAGTGAGCCGGGAAGCCTCACCGATGCAGCCAAGCGTGTCTTTGTCATAGTCGGGTAACATTTTTCGTTCTTATAGGTACTTAAACCCAATGAGGAATAAAAACATAAATGTTTAATCCTATCCCAACCACGAACTAGGTGTGGTTGAGCGGGATGACAGCACACAGCAATTTCACATCGACGGCATGGGCAAGGAGTCACCTTTGCCCTTCAGCGTCCTCTGCAAGGTCGCTCTTTCGGACCAGACTGAACAGCACTCTGGGAATTTTACGGTGTTTCCCGGGTCCCACCGGAATTCCGATGTCATCCGCTGGTACTTCGCACACCTCTCAGCCGAGACATCACCGAAGCCGTCGAGGCCGGACGTGGGTTCGCCATTGCAGCTACGGCTCGCGCCCGGAGATGTGGTCCTGGCGCATCCCTATTTGTGCCATCGGGTGGGAACGAACACATCTCCCCACATCCGGTATAGTGTGATATTCCGATTCCGCTCGAAGGAGTTTGCTGAGCATGCTGCGAATCGCGAGGCCCTGTTGCAGAACCCCATGCTGGAATTTCCCTGGTTTAAAGCATGCGAACCAGCAGGTCCTTCAGGTTATACAGGGGCCTGAATAGTTATCATGGCTCCTTCATACTGTGTTGTATTTGGGAGTTTCCGAAAATTAGGGGCACCTCATTTTGGATTCCTTGTAATAAGGCTCCTACTGTCTGGTACTATATTGAGGTGCCCTGGTTTCGGAAACTCCCATTTGTGTAATAACAAATGCCCAAGACCGCAGTCCAACATGAAGGCCCCTGTATTGCTTAGCCTGTCGAAGAGGCTGCCTACCGTGCACAGAGGCTTCAGCTGACTTCGATCTTGAAAAGGGGGAATCGCAGTCTCTTTTGGGGGAACTTCGTTTGCAAAGGAAAACGGCAGACCATCTACCAAGTTCGCTAAAGCAGGGTTGCTACTAAGTTTTGACAACAGGGTTGACATGAGTAGAAGGACCCTTCGCACGCGCCATCTGGACTCATAAAATGTCAGGTTTTGGAGCTAGGGCGTTTGGCACGGTTTCGGAGTGTGTTCTCGGGATCAGAAGCGTGCTCCAAAGGGACACTCCGGTTTGCGGTTCATAAACCTTCAGAGCCCTGATTCTGCCAGCTTTCTGGATTCGTTTTTTTTTCCGGTGTTTCGGATGGTTTGGGGTCCGAGGGCTTAAGGTTTTATAGGCTTTGGGCGCCGTCGACATGCAGGTTGAGCGAGACCAAGAGCAGAGGACACAGGCCAGTGCGCAGGTAGCGCCGCGATCTGAGGTGGCGTGCGTGTTTTTTTTTGTGGGGAAAGGTGCTTAAAGGGAAAAACAATGAAACACAGGGTGTAAAGTGTGTTTTTTTTGCGCTCTATGTTGTGCGACTAATTAGACCGTTTCAAGAGATTAGGTGTATAGCATGCCCTTGCATTTCAGCAATACTTAAGTACACCAAAAGATGCTTTGCTTCTTCAGCAGAGGACATTCATCTACTTCCCGGGCTTTGGTTCAACTTAGTAAGTATAAGTATAGTGTAATGGGCCCCAAAACCCTATTCTATTTATTAAGGCCCTACAGTAGGAGGGCAGCTTCGGGTCTCTTCAGACTAAAGGGTCATTGTGGGCGGGACTTTTCGGCCATGGGCTGTGGGGTGTCTGGCCTGGAGTGATATCGCGCTCCTCAACTTGCGAGATGAACCAGACTTTGCCGCAAGCTACGCCCACAGGGTCCACGTATCATCTTGGTGTATACTTAGACCCCCCAAATACCCTGTAAGTATATGCCATAATGATAAATGGACCCTTTGGGACGGTAACCACCATGATAAACCTGACTGCACTGTGGCAGGGACGTGCATCAGAGACCTGATGTGAATGTGGGACACTACTAGTTATAAGTCGCTCAGTAAGGACCCAATTCTGTCCTAAGCTTTCGAAGGCTTTTGGATCCCGAAGTCTCAATGGGTTGTTTTCGATTCGGGGTTTCTTATCTAAAGCAAACAAACAGCCTCAAAGTAAGGCCGGGCACCACCCGCTATGCTGCTTGGCAGCGGCGGGGGGACACCGCAGCCCTTGGAGAGAGGCGATTTGGGAATTGGGAGAGTCGAACTCGAACAGCGCACAAAATACGAGAAACCCCAGCCTCAAAACCATCCCCACAGGCTATGGCCATGAGAACTTTCTAATTGTATATTGAGAACTGGTAGCAGTCGCACTTGCCGATATTGATGGGCTTGCTGTCTGTTGCGACTGCCGTTGTAGCTGCGATCTTCTGCTTATGTCATATGTTAAACATTTAAATGCCGACCATGCTCGTGTTGATGATGCGGTTGAAGATGGTGGCCGTGTCCCGTCATCATGTCATGGCTTCTGTGGACCCTCGCGCGATGTGCTGTTTTTGTCGCGCTGTTTCCACAAACAAGACGTGGATGTGACCGTTGCCTTTGTTCGTCCCGTCGTTTTGCCTCGTTCATTTTCCGGGTAGCCAAAACTACAGTCCTTGTTACTCTTCATTTTCGGTTGCAGCTACAATGGTTCTCTGGTTCTGCGCGGGACAAGCCGAGGGATCAGAACTGAGGCTGATTGTGGCTATGCCATATTGACTTGTTCCGATGACGTTCTTTTGTTCCAGAGACACCGTACTTTTCATTCAGAACAGGGGCTTGAGTTTCGTTTGTTTGGTGGACTTAGTATGCCGCCGAAGTCCCCTGTTTGTCACTATCCATGTCATCTACCGTTGCCCCTGTGCTCCCGCACAGCCTGAATGCGAATGTGGTTGGCGCCAGCCTTCCTAGTCCAAAGCTGTTCATGCCAATCCCAAAGGGTCCAAGTGTCATTATGGTATATACTGATAGGGAATTTTGGGGGTCTAAGTATATACCAAGATGATACTTGGACCCTTTGGGAATGTGTCCAGGTTAAACAGGTTTAGAATTGCCGGAACGGCGCAGACCAAAAGCCCGAACACCGCGAGGCCTGCCACCCCTGAACCTTCCTGCCAGCAGCGTCGCCTTTACCTACATCATTGTGGTGGTTCCCTATTATAGTTATAGTATAGTGGGCCCCCAAAACCATATATTCTAATTATTAAGGCCTCTCTATATATATATATATATATATATATATATATGGTCACCCCCCCCCGTTGACAGACCATGCCCTTTCAACTCAGTCGTAGTGCATGGTCTGTGATCGGGGGGAGGGGGCACTCAGCTTTCAAAAACACAATTCCCAAATTTCCAATTTTATCTCCCCTAACTTTCCGGATTTCCAAAATTTCAGAAATTTCCGAAAATTCCAAAATTTCCAAAAAGTCAGCCCTTATGTTTTGGAAAAATCCTGTCGACTAGGTCGGGCCGTTTTGGAAATTTTGGAACTTTTGGAATTGATTTTCAATGGGCTGATTGTGACCCATCGGATGACAGACCATGCACTACGACTCACTTGCAAAGGCAAGGTCTGTTTAGACGACTGTCAGTGTTTATATATATATATATATATATATTGTTTTTTAAATTGGTACTCCTACGAATACTATTACCAATACTAATACTGACATTGATCATTTGCTGACTGCCCAAGCTAATAACAGCATTAACACTAATATTTACACTTTAAGCCAATACGAATAGGCACCATACAAATACTAATAATGATTAATACTGACGTTCATACTCCTACGCATATTAATAGTTATGCCCATATTGGTAGTAGTGTAGTTTAATACCAATACTAATACACAACTGCATGTACCAATGTACATAAATATACATACCACTATATTAAAGTACAAATACATTAGCTCATGCATGTATTTATTTGTTAGTATTTTCATGTAATCAGGAGTAATACTAATATAAGACAAACGTTCAAACGAATACATAACCTCATTTTAATATTAGCACTAGCACTAGCACTATTACTAATACCAATCACACTGTTTATACCAACACCAAGATTTACATAAGTATTGATACTCCTACGGATACTACTGCGTATACTCTTATGCTGTTAACAGTAATGCTGTCACCAATACGAATACTGACATTGATAACTTGTTGAATATTCAAGATAATGCCAGTATTAATACCATTATTAACACTTATACTAAGGCTTATGCGACTATGGATAATCCTAATACGAATATTAACATTCATACTCCTACGAATACCAATAGTCATATTCATATTGATGTGAAGACTAATACCATTACAAAAGGCACGTGCAGATGCTAATGCACACCAGAACACATACCATTATCTTAAGATGCCGATATGTACCAATGCATTCATGTACTGTGCTGATGTTTTAGGACAAGCATATACCCACATACCAATGTAACAAATATATTAATACAGCAATATACTAGTTTACTCATGCATCAGTTGTACTAAAGTATTAAATCTGCGAATATGCAAGTATACAAATAAGTTGCCTCTCGAACACATCAATAAATTGATATACTAACCAGTTACAGATCGAAACTAACTCTAATTCTGATACCAATACTAGCACCTCTGCCATTATTAACTGATATTAAACCCAGCATGAAGACTGATACTAATACTAGCAGTGGTACGGTTACTGGCACTAACACTAAGACCAAAACGAAGATGAGCACTAACATTAATGTATACTTACTACTGTCGATATATACAAATACATATATACTTACAGTAAGCACTGATACTATTGCTGATGCTAATACTAATACCAATATTAATACTCATACTCATCCTATATCAATGCTACCACAAAACTCATAACTCACGTGTCGCGCGTCTGGTCCATGCGTCCTCAGTACATGGCATGTTAAAAGTATACTTGGTATATGAACTGTAAAGGATTTGCTTTACAGATTGTCGTCATGTGTGGTGTGTTTAGATACAATATCTCAGCCTAGTCACCGAACGAGAGTACACTATCACAAGGGCATGGTCTGTCAACGGGGGGGGGGTGTGAGCATATATATATATATATATATATATATATATATATATATATATATATATATTACAGTGCCCTTATAGATCCCTTAGAAGAGTAACCCTTCAAGGACCCCCTTTTGAAAGGACCCTATTCTAACTATGAAAGGCCCCCCCATTTTAGCCTGAAGTGTTTTGAGTCCCGGAAACCGACACCTCTTGCAAGGCTCCACAATGACGCGGCCAAAAGGGCCTTGAAGATGCGTCATTTGCAGGCGCTTCTTGGGGTTTAGGGTTTAGGGTAATGCATTGACAGCTTTTCCTTCGAACTCTTGCCTTAAAACGGGGCTACGAGTTTCGTGGGCGCTGGCCGGCACCTCAGTCCGTGCTGAAAAGGGTAATGCATTGCAAGTCCGTGCTGAAAAAGGGTTTAGGGTAGGAGATCGGACGAGACGAGATAGCGGGCGAAACAGAGATGGAGAGAGTGTGAACGTCTTGGTTGGTTGCACGCACTCATGCACAGAAATCTGGATGCATTTAATGTCGAGAGCCAGGAATCCAGGAATAGAGACAGACGGACCCACAGAGGGAAGGAGAGATAGAGAGGCACGGCGACGAGTTCCGAATTCATGGGCAGTTCTCGTGTACGGGATTGGCAGTAGATATGAGCCTCTGTCAAGACGATTTATGTGTCTTACCCTCGAGGAAAGTTTCTGAACTCTAAGAATGGTAGTAATAGTAGTTATACTTGTACCCCGTTCCTCCATTCCCTACTAACCAAAAGTAAGTTTTCGCTGTGAGGGCGCCAGCAACACAAACCTCCAGGTTGAAGGGTTCAGGACGGCTTGTGCCGCTGAAGGACCACTTTTAAACTTCCACAGCCTACTTTTTTGCAGGCTCTTATTAGAAGCCCTAATATGGGATTTATAGGGACCCTGCAAAAAAAGTTGTTTTTTTGGGGTGGGGTTAAGGCATTCGATACTTTTTAAATTTTAAAGTTGCTTCAACCCTCACTAAGACTTTAGGGGTTAAGGGTGTGCTTACCGGCTCGTATCCCTGATAGTGCGTATTTAGTATAGTCCCTAAACCCTAAACCCTAAACCGTAAACCGAACCATTCAGGCAACAACCCATGAGGTTTCCGGGGTTAAGCTCCTGATTCCACTGTTTCGGGGCTTGCCCTAAACCCTACTATTACTCTTACTATGACAATTACTTTTAACTACTATTACTATTACTATTACTATTACTGTTACTGTTACTGTTACTATTACTGTTACTATTACTGTTACTATTACTGTTACTATTACTATTACTACTACTATTACTATTACTATTAGATGTGAGTTTGAAGCCTCAACCCCTACGGTCCACCCTAACACCGAAACCAGAAGCTTGAAACCATAGCCATGAGCCCTTGCAGCAATATACCCTCACCCCTGACAAACCCTGCGCTTCAAAGCTATGACAAGGAGATGGTGGAGGAGGAGCGAAGGATGCAAGAGCAGCAAGAAGCCACGCCGAGACCTCAAAAAGCGATTCGGAGGTTTAAGGAGCTCAATGTAAAATCTCGTTAGGGTTAAACGCTGTAGGCCCTAAATCCCAGACCTTGTCCACCCTAGTCTCGAGTTGCTGCGCTTCAGTCGTCCCGCATCATGCTTGGACCCTTGCCGAGATGTCACGTAAGCGGGTGTTGCGTGCAGGGCTTGGGTTTTGGCACATGGGTTCTGGGTTTTGCTCTGAGCCTTAAAGAAAGTTGTATGCACCCCAAGTAGGCCCTAAACCCAACCGGCTCAGGACGTCAGGTTTCGAGTGTAGGATTCAGTGTGATGGGGAGCAGAATTCCCAAAGTTCGTATAACAGCGGGCAGGATACGTATTCCAAAGATTGGAGTACCTCTTTCTTGAGGTCTTCAAAAAAAATCGGAGGCTATGCGGGGCAAGAGGTTCAGAGTCCTGTTGCCTGAAAGACGGTCGCACTGGTGTCATTAATGTAGCAAGCCCCAGCCTACACCCATGTCAATGACCCTAAACCCTAAACCCTAAACCTGAGTCAAGGAATCCGACAGGAGCCTTGGTCTGGGGTCAGACACATGCTATATAGGGACAAGTTTTTGAATACTCACTTAAGCCGAACAAGATTTTGACCCCATTTGAGAAGAAAAACAACAAGCATCCGAGACAAGGTTCCGCCCCGCTATCGAGGCCCATGGGAGACATGAGGGGATGGATTTGGCTTGGGGATTTGGCCTTGTGCAAAGGGTTCTAGAATACCCGCTGATCCCTGGAGCCTGAAACCTGCATAACTGGTCGCTGCGGCGCAACTTCAGTAAAACACCAGGGAATCCTACCTCATGTCTTCGCTTTATGTAGTGCTGTCGGTGTTCTCTGCTTGGGACTCTGTGCATCCCCACCCGCAGAGCCCCCTAAGAGTCTCAGAGACTGCTAAGCCCCACCCACAAAACGTCCGGGTGTAGATCCCCGGAAGCTTCTATGTTCATTCGTTTGTTTACCCAACTATGCTACTACAGTACATGTTGGCCAGGTGTCTTTCAGAGCACGGTTGGCATAAACTTCTTACGGAGGTTCATGTGACCCTCACTCTGTGCTGCACTTTGGAAGAAGACAATTCTTCCCGCAGCAAGTGGCGATTGTTCGAGATAAGCATCTGTTCTGGGGGTCCCCACAGTGCGGCCGTCTGAGGATACCTTGCTCGTCTAGCAAGCAACACCTCGCACTTCATCCTTGTCGTCGAGTAGGTTAGCGCTAATAGTTCGGTGCATTATCAGCTCAACGTAACCACAAGAGTTATGCATAGTTTTCCTTCGAAGCTGGACTTAAACCTCCAAACCCTAAATCGCTGAAACCCCAAGCCCTAAAACCCGAAACCCCGAAACTCTACACCTTAAGCTAAACCCTAAACTCTATACACCTTAAGCTAAACCCTCGACAAGCCTCCGAAAGCGTGAGAACCAGAGGTCTCACAGCGCAGATGCCAAGGGACATCCAGGCTCGGAGCAGTCTCTGAAGTTTCCGGAAGCTACTACTGTTGATGATGTAAATCCTGCATTACCTGCATGACCCTAGACTATGGGAATTATGGAATATTCCTTATTATGGGTAATGCAGGATTTATACCATCAGCAGTAGTTAAAATAGGGGCTCACTCAATTGCCTGTACCATGCTGGGGGCTCCTGATTATTTTTCTGGCATAATGTACCCCAAAACCCTATTCTAATGATTAAGGCCCCTAGATTACTGGTTACTGGTCCATTCTCGGGGGGTTCTTAGATTGCTCTATAGGGGTGTTGCAAAGGTTTCCTAGAAACTGGGGATACTGTAATCAGGGGTCCCCGGGCTAGGGGTCCTACAATACAAGTTAAGGCTTACCCCTATTTGGCACTCTTGTTTGCTGCAACTGCGAAGGGCCAGGCATGAGGATCGGTCTGCAGGCATGCAGACCGCGCGTGCACTCGGCGGACAAACCCTAAACCCTCGATGCAGGCTTCGTCCTTGCTAGCTAGGAGAGAAAAGCCCTCGGTGGACGTTGGTGCTTCTTTTTCTAGTACTAGAGTCGGGAATCTTTAACCTTTTTTTGGGTAGTATAGTATAGTCCCTATATAATCCCTAATATACCCAAAAAGGTTAACCTTTAGTTCCCCATGATACCCGAAAAGTAGGCCCAAACCCTAAAACCCTAAACCCTTAAACCCTAATAGACCGAGTGTGAGCGCCGAAACCCTAATAGACCCCCTTTAAAGGAACCTCTATAGATCCCGTTAGGAAATTTTCGTCTTCGGTTGCGGCAGGTCTCTTCAAGACCCAGAGGGCCTGAAAAAGAGGAGCCGCCCTGCGCTGACTGAAGCCAAGGGGAGTTTCCGAAAATTTGTGGCACCATGATTTGGGGTCCTTATAATAAGGATCCTACTATTTAGGGTACCATATTAGGGTCCCCTATTGTCGGAAACTTCCATGGAGGGTCGCAAGAAGTAGGAGGGTTCCTTGAGAAAACTGTAGGTCAGCACCTCAGAAGTCTGTTCTGATCCCTAAATCCTGAATCCGAAATCCCAAAACCCTATTTTACTGAAGGCCTCTTTGCTGGACCTTCCATGTCGTCAGCCTCCTGGGTTTCGAGTTTGGGGTTCCCATGCTTAGCATCAAAGGGGAAAAGGAGGGACCCTTAATGGGGACCCCTACCCTATAATCGGCTATATAATGGGTATACACTAGGTGTGTTAAGGGTATATACCTAGGGATCCTCATTAAGGGTCCCTCCTTTTACCCTTGGATAGCATGCAGATGATGGCCGATACTGTTACAGAGCCCTGAGTGATTAGTCCAGGCTTTGGGGTCTTGGGGGCACATCGGGGTGTGCGCATGTATATGTGTATAGGGCTTAAGGGGATACTGCATACCAGTTATGCCGAGTTGCTGGGTGACCTGGGATTGACGCTTCTTTGCCGTTAAAATGACACTATAGTCTCCCTAAAATGGAGCTCTGCTTGAAAAGGGCGAGATTTGCTTGTGTTGCCTGCAGTACGTCACAACATCCCCAACAAGTTTTATGATCATGGCCGGCCGAGCTACATTGTGAATATTGATGTGTGGCACGATGGACACCTCAAGTATGAGCACGCGCAGTTGTTTCAGGAATATGTTCACTCACGACTGCGAAAGACTAATATAAATCGTGTGTCGAAAGGGTCCTCCCCCAAGCCAGCTGACCATTCTGAATTCTACCCGCTGAAAACCGCTAACAATACTTGGAAGTCGATGCCCCAGGTCATGCGCACGAATCCTCGCCCATTCAACATTTTTCTTATTCCACCTGCGCTTCCGTATAGACGAAGGCCTTGCCCTTCACCTCCACCCTACTCCCAAGCTATTCATTTTTGCAGATTCATGGGGTTAGGGTCTCACAGATGATTTCAACCCTTGAAGCCCTAAAGCGTCACAGTGTTCGGTCATTGAAGCAGCGTATTCGACATCTCCGCGCCCCTCCGCAGGATGAAGATGCAGAGGTTGCGCAACATGCAAGAGAAGGCGGAGCTTGATGGCCTGGGCCTCGGGTTGCATCCCGCGTGGTTTGGGGTTTAGGGCTTTTGGGGTTCAGGGTCGGGGGGGGTGCCCCTGGGTTTACATTCAGGCAGTGTTCATGGTCTTCAGGGGCTGCTAGGTCTGCTAAGTCGCAGCAATGTCACCACCTGGTTGCGGAAAGCTATCAGACACTGTGCGGACGAACGGTCAGATGGGAAACCGTTAGCCCTACCTCATAAAGGGTCTGCAGGTTCTGATTATCAGGATCCCACTGCTGTCGTTTTACGTCATTTGAGCCGAGAGTTGCTTTATCTACCAGCATGAAAATCCCAATCCCATAATCCGAGCAGACTAAACCCGTCCTTTACAGGGCTCTCACAGAAGAGTTATGACTGTTATGTAACTTTTGCACTGTCACCCTAAACCCGAAAAGCCCTGTTACTAGTTACCCCGCAATGCGGGCCTATTCCTTGCCAAGAAGGAGGAGAAAAAAACCCAGCCACCGTAAATCCCAAGCCCTTGTCATGTAGGAGTTTCCGAAAATAGGGGGCCCTAATATAGTACCCTAAATAGTAGGATCCTTATTACAAGGACCCCAAAATCAGGTACCCCCAATTTTCGGAAACCCCCATGTAGGCTGCACCTTCAAGCCGGAGATCGACCAAAAGTCCGAAGAGCTGATAAGCCAGCGTTTGGCGCGGCTGAAGATCACGGGGACCCTGTGCCCCTAAGGACTGCGGATTCTGGGCTTGGGGATACTTAGGGGTACTTAGAAATATTTTTTAGATTTTTGGTTATTATAATCCCTAAGAAACAGCTAAAATTATAATTTTTGCTAGGGTTCTAAGGTCAGTATAGGATAGAAGGGGTTGCAGTTGAGGGATGTTGAGTTGTGTAGGGTGGTTATCGGAGTCGCATGGATTCCGTCTTCGAGGTGCAGTGGTTAAGGGTTTCAGTGGGATTTAGCAACACGGGTGAAGGGTGATGTGGTGCTGTCAATATTTGAAGACTTGCAAAGCTTGGGATGCTCACGAACTATAAGTTTAACGTTTTAAAGGTCTCCGGCTCGTAGGTTCAGAGCTTGCCCTGAATACTTGATCCGGATTCCAGCTTAAGGCTGTTCGGTGCTTCTTTGCTTTGGTCATTATATTGCACGAGTGTGGCATCATGTTCGTCACTTCAGTGGTGCACGGACAGGCTAGAATCCGCTAGAAGCATATAGTTGCCCATACTATGCTTACTTCCGTTTTCACAGCTGGTTTATCTATGGTCCCAAGGGCAGCAATAAACCGCCGGAAGCTGCTGGGTAATGTATGATGTCAAGGGTGCGGTCAATCACTCATGTTTTTCCTGAGGGTGAATTGGCCTCAGAGGTACGACTCTCTTTACGAAGCCCTAAACCCTAAACCCTAGAGACCGTTGTTATCAGAGGTACGACTCTCTCTACGAGGATGCCATTCGAAGACGCGAACGGCAGCTGGAGTCGTTGCGGGCCTGGGCCTTGGGTGCTCTGGGCTCGTGCTTCGGGTTGCTTTGTGTATGTATGAACCGTAGCCTATTTGGCTCAAGTCCACGTGCACAAACCTAGTGAGCGGTGCGCTGTGGGCGTCCTCGCCTTGCTTTGTGTTGCGCTGGCAAAAGCATGGTTGGTGTCAGCCATGAACTCCCGGAGGTGTATTGCTCCCCACTCAGTGGGACTCTGATACCTCTCCTGCCAGAGGATGTTTGGCGATTGTCCAGGGAGTTGCCGATGATGAAGGTGCTGAGCCCGGCGTATCACTCGTCTTGCCAGGTGATTTTGCTGCGCCTGGCATGCCAAGCTCATCAGAACAGGTGCGGCGTCTCAGACAGTGGATTGCCGGCTCCCCTTTTGGCAGGTGGCATTGGGGCGCTTGGCATGCCGATGTTATCGGGCACAGGTGGATTGTCCAGCAGCGGATTGCAGGCTCCTGTCTGGCCAGGTGCTGGCGTCTCAGGCAGCGGATTGCCGGCCCGTGTTGCCAGATAGTTTTCGTGCGCCTGGCACAGCCTTTTTATCAGGCACAGGTGCTGGCGCCTCAATCAGTGCCTTAGGTTGTTTTGGTGCGCCTGGCACGCCGTTTTTATCAGGATGGCATCCCTTTGCTCAAACTTTTAGTCGGTGCATTCGCCGTCACGGATATGCCGGCCAGAAAAGGAAGATTAAGATGAGGCCAATGTGTAGCAAAAAGCGAGACAGGACCGTCCTGAGAGCTTTGGTGAGCCTCAAACCGGCTCGTTGGCTTTGGCCCCGTAGTTTTCATGGTTGCGTGCCGTGCATGCATTCCAAATGTTGCCGCTGAAGCCGAACGCACGCAAAATGAAGAAACGCGCGGGCGTATACCTTTCGCCTCCTCTATACTCCACTGCCCGAGTTGCACAGTTGCACCCCCTCAGCAACCTGCTGTCTTGGTAGATGCTGTGGTACATGCTGGGTCGTACATGGTGGGACCCACATGGACTATCCGCTCCTGGCTTGACGAAGACGGACAGATGCAAGAAGCGGGCTCGTTGTCTTTTGGGCTGTATCTCGCGGACGGAGCTCGTGGACTTTCATCATAGCCAAACCAAGGCTCTTGCCCGCCCCTTTTCGCTCCGGTCCATGGTTTACAGCTTCCAGGCTCCAGCAACGTCCAAAACTGCTGGGGCTGGGGCTGGGGCTGGGGGCTTGGGGCTGGGCATGGCGGAGGAGTGTTGCGGAAGTTGGGAAGGCCACAGCAGAATGGGCAGGACTGGAGGGATCGAGCCCGCAGACTGTCGTCATAGCCAAACCAAACCAAGGCTCTAGCCCGCCCCATCTAGCTAGCCGGTCCATGGTTTACAGCCTCCAGGCTGTAGCTCACGGCCAAAACGCCAGCCCTCCGGTTTTGTTTGATGGCTGCCGCACCGACCCTCCAGCCAGGCCGACCGCGCCCCTCACAGAGGTAGTATTCGAGGTATCTGTTTGATCTATCTTTGTGTCCGCATAGTTAAAATCGTCGCCGTATATTGTATGTTTTACATTGTATATCGTGTATTGTATATTGTATATCGTAGTCGTATACCGTACATTGTATGTCGCATATTGTACATTGTATATTGTATATGGTGTATTGTATGCTGTATATTGTATATTGTTTATTGTTTACTGTATAATGTACGTGTATAAGAGAGTTGTTCTACACCCCCGGCTCTTGACCGTAGACTAACAGCGCACTTTAATAAGTAGAGCTCACTTGGCTTATCAAGGCTACAAAGTGGGAATGTGTTTAAAACCGTGTGCGCGCAAGAGCGCGCAGGGGCGAAGCGCAAGGGGATTTTCGAGTTGCGGGTTGGAACAATAATAAAGAACGACCCCCATATGTACATGAGCGACTGCTTTTATTATCACGTCGGAGGCCATACTTTGCAGAGATATTCCTTTCGCATGGCAAGACGATGGGCCCCCCACAAGCGATACAGATTTTTGTGCTGTGATTTTCAGATGTGCTCGCTAGGCTTCGGGTTCGGGCTCTACTCGTTGAAAAGCATTGAGGTGTTGTGGAGGCTTATAAGGCTTCGTGTGGTGTTGGGGTACACAAACACACACTCTCTTCCTCTCCGTGTCGGTCGAGAGCGTTCGTATGGAAGTGTAGGTCCGCTTGGCTCGAAATTTCATGTTGTATACCGGTCCAGATCGATAGCCAAAACGATGCCCTGACGATATACCCACAAAGTAGCTTTCAGGTAGGTGCCCGGAAGCTTCCCAGCCCATGCCCTACTGCTACTACTACTATCTACTACTTCTACTTCCACTTCCACTTCGACTTTTACTTCTACTGTTTCTTCCTACTGCTACTGCTACTGCTACTGCTACTGCTACTGCTACTGCTACTGCTGCCACCACTACTACTACTACTACTACTACTACTACTACCACTACTACGACTACTACCAGTGCTGCCACTACCGCTACCACTACCACTACCACTGCCACTGCCACCACTATCACTACTACTACTACTACTACTACTACTACTACTACCACTACTACGACTACTACCAGTGCTGCCACTACCGCTACCACTACCACTACCACTACCACTGCCACTGCCACCACTATCACTACTACTACTACTACTACTACTGCTACTACTACTACTACTACTACTACAACTACAACTACTACTACTACTACCACTACTACAACTACTACGACTACGACTACGACTACGACGACTACTACTACTGCAACTATTATTACTACTACTACTAGTACTACTACTACGACTACTACTACGACTAAGCGACGATATCGACTACTTCTATACTGCTCCTCCTTCATCCTAATCTCGCAAAACGATAGGGCCCCCGAAAAGCGATACCCCATCTTTTATTTTGCAAAAAACTTAGAAATTCTTGAGGTATTTGTACATGTATTTGTATATGTAGATGTATATGTAGATGTATATGTCGATGTCGATGTAGATGCCGATTTCCATCTATATCCATATCTACATCCATGTCTACATCTATATCTATATGTATATGTATATCTATATATATATATATATATACAGGAGCAGAAATAGCAGACTCAGCATGTTCGAGGTTTTGAGGTTGTGATGATATTCGATTGCATTGCTGTGTTTTTCTTTGTCCTGTTCAAGCCGGACCCCGCTGTACCAGTTTGAAGGCACTGCCTCCTGGCGTGACGTTCCAGCCCGATATCGGCATGGACGGAACAGGGGCATCAAGGGCATCTTAATTGCCTTTGTCGACTTCAGACTTCTTTTCGGTCCAAGTAATGCCTTCCAACGGAGGGTTTCATCAATTGAGCAACTCCAAAGCAAAAACATGAGCATCAGCATTATCACATTATCATCATTATCAAGAATCCTTACAGCCAAGTTATTCGCAAGACCGCCCGAAGACTACCAAAATATGTCGCGTTGACAGTGTTTCTTGCATTCTGTCACCTCTGTTCACAGTTACCTTTGTTACTCTCGGCGCCTTCTTCGAGTTTCGAACCGGGGCAGCGACTGGCATTTAGGGTGCCGAATAATTAGCACTGTGGTGCGGCGTGTCCTGGCATCTCGTGCAGTCCCAGAGTCAAAATGGTGCCGATAGCTCTGTTGTAAAAGTCCAGCATTTCGAGGGTTTTTCGGTAACCTTCAGGGTTCGACATTAGCAGACTTTAGTTTCAGAAGAGAGGACCACTACCGGCCTCCCAATGACGAGACGAAGGAGGAGCCGCCGCGCATGCCAAGAACTGACATCTTGGAGCCGTATAGTATATTCCTAGGTAGTATCATGGAGAGCCCTTAGAGGGGACCCTTCTTGACCCCGTTATTGAGTGGGTTTATATCACCAAAGGTCCCCCGAATCCTAGCTCCCATGTAGCATTTGCACCTTTGAACCCTGAACCTGAAAACCACCGCGTAGACCCTTTCACCCGCCATGTGAGAGTATGGTCTCCCAAGAAGGCAACCCTAGACGGCCCTGAACTCTACAAGCACTACTTCCTGTTCCTACACCCTAGGCCCTAGTTCCCTAAACTCACCTCCCTAAACTCTACACGCACTACACCCTGTTGTAGAGCCGAAAAGTGTGATTACCTTGGAGTAAGGTTGGCGTAATCTAGGGGTTTAGGAACGGCAAATTCCAACTTCAAACCCCCAAACCATGAAACCGGGTGAATCCTTGTCTGCCTTTTTTGCGCGCAAGAGTCGAAACCTTGCTCGGTGGGAGGCTAAAAGTTTAAATTCCTAAACCGTAAACTGAACTTGAACCTGCTTATTTCTAACTGTAGCACCGGGCCCTTAGGCTGGATACCTTTGGCTGTGCGTCTATGCTCGATTTGACTTCAGGATGAAAAATTATGCTTTCGGTGGGGGTCATCTTGGGCAGGACTTCCTCAACCGATTAGCCTACTCAAAGAGCTACTCGGAGAGCCTGCGCCTGAGTCCGTTTCTGTTGGGGCCTGCTCGAAGCTTCATGAGTGGATGCAAGGAATAGAGGTCCGAATAGGGGGTACAGCAGCAGTATTCCCCCTAGAGTGTTCTGCTTGTCAAGACGCACATAAAAAGCAAAGATTGCTAGAGTTTCAAGCGGTCAGCATGCCCGCGAGCCTTCAAGCAGGTTTGCAGGGTTTTTTTGTGGGTTTTTCTGCCCAGCTGCTGAGTAGCCCTATATCTGTTTGTCTGTCTCTCTCTCTATCTCTTGCCCTCGCTCTCTCTCATTCAGTCTCCCACCCTCTCTTCGCACATGTCTCGATGCGTTGGTGCATGAACTCTGGGTATTCCAATAAAGAGAGACTTTATAGAATCATATATGTATATGTGCGCATACCCGAGGCGCGCTTAAATTATCGGCTTCTTAATGCCGTGAACCTACCAGCAGTCAGCCAAGCCTGAACAGCATTTGGGGCTCAGGGTGGCTCTCCCTGCGGCGTCAGTCGCAAGAGAATGGCTTCCGGTCAAAGGCGCCTCGCAACAAAGCGCATTATAGCTCCATCGACGCTCGAACATGTTGCCCATCGGAGAGGTTCTGAACGATTTTGTCAGCCTTTGGGATCCTTTCCGAAACCCAAAGCCCGCCGAAAGACAAAAATCTTCAAGACCCGCAAGGCCGTTAAAGACCTTTTAAATCCAAAGGCTTAGCAGGTCAAGATCTTTGACCCCAAACGCGGAAGATCTTTAACCCCCAAAGCTGAAGATCTTGAACCCCAAAAAGCTTGCTGTACAGCAAAGAACCCCCTGCACCAACAAAGGTAAACCTGCGATTGAAGGAAGCCACTACTCGATCCGCCGATCTTAGATACTGTATACTATGTATAGATTGTAATATGAAATGTAATATGTAGCGTAATATATAAAAATGTAATGGTCTGAAGGTTGTTGTTTCAAGATGCGGGGGTCTCGGGCTTTGAAGGGCTTTTGTGGTTCTGGAGTGTGATGTTTGGTCTAGTCTAGAGTTTGAGACACTGCCGTTCGGCTACGCAGTTCGTGCCAAAGCCCAGCTCACGATGTGTGATTGCATGTAAACCCTCACATAAACGCTTAAACCGCAAGACAGGCACATCTGTCCACTCCGATAGCTTTGGTAAGCATGCAACACCCCCCTTCATGGGTTCAGGAATCGTCTTCCCAAACACTCAAAATACCTGAAACCTGAACTGTAGCCTAGGCTACAGGCGAAAATCGAAAATCTCTAAGCCCTGCACGCTTAAGCTTAAACCCGAAGCCAACAACCCTAAACCCTTCATGCCCCTTAACTCTCTTCGTCTCTCTCTCTCTCTCTCTCTCTCTCTCGCTCTCTATCTCTCTCTCTCTCTCTCGATCCCTCTTTTCCTGTCACTGTACACCTTATGTACAACATGCACATTTCATATGAATACAGATATGCATATATCATATACATAGTCATGTATACAACTGTTCGTTCACATGTATACATCCGAGAGGACCGGGAGCAGCCCGAGTGAGGAACTCATCTTTTCAGGGGTGCCAGAGCCAGGGCAGGTCAATAAAAGGTTCAGGAGAGAGAGTGTTTAGGATTTTGCAGGCCAGTTGCAAAAGTGTTTGGGATTTTTGAGGGCGGACCCGGTAGAGTCGCTGCAGACCCGGTGTTGAGGATTTGAAGCTTGGCTGAAGTGATTCAGGCTTAGTGCATTGCAGCCCCTGCTTAAAAAAAGTGTGTTTAGGGTAGTAGCCTAAACCCTGAAGGCTGGAGTTAGTAACATGTTTGAGGGCTTTGGGGTGGGTGTTGGGTTGGTTGAGAAGGGTTTATGCTTGAAAATAATGCCCTACTGATGTGGGTGGTTTGGCTCGCTCCCGGAAATGGGGAACCAGTGAATCAGCACGACGATGAGGGTCCCCGCATGTCTGGGAACTCGTAGACGTTGATGTTCCCCTCAACGTCTTAAGTGCACCCCGAACGTTGCACCAGTCATCGAACCCAAAAGCTTGTAAGCAATTCGCTGTTCGCCTGTCCGAAACTTGACGGCTGCTAGATGATGCTAGATGCACAACTGCTTGGATGAGACACCTTGAGGCTACCCTCCTCGCGAATTGAATCCGTCGTCAATTAGCACGATATTGAAACAGATTAACTTGACAAGCTTCCCAATCAAACCTGAATTAGCTCCCAGGTTCCACCCACAGACAGGGAGAGGCCCGCTGGTGGTTGGAAGCTCAGTTTGGGTGTTTTCAGACAGAAAACCCTTCGCATCCCAATGCAATCACGAAATCAGAAAGATCTGCAGACATCGAAGCCTGTACTACTTGGCACGGCGCCCCGAGTTCTGCAGCTTACACCAACTACACAAGCCCTTTCTGGATCTTTGCCATGATCCAAGCAAGGCTTTGCACTGACCCGATCTTTGCGTTTACAGGGTCTTGTTAGTAGGTTTCAAGGTGTTTACTTCTGGTTGATTTGCACCAGCACTTGATTCGTGAAATCCTTTGAACCTGGCACCTTGTCACCGGGATTACGCGTAATTTGGTTTGGGGCTGGCGACGTTTGGTTGATGGCTTTAGAGCTGCCTGTTTGGAGTATCAAGGTCTCCTTGTGGGGTTTGTTTGGGCTTAAGGGTTTAGGGTGTTTTAGGGCTCCAACTCCGGATGCAACAAGGGTTTGGGGGGACATTTCACAACTCGAAATGCCTGACCCTGTACTCTAAACGCACATAGAAAGCTCCCCGGGGTTGAGCTATGCCTTGATGGTCCAACTTGCTCGAACTCCTCGCAGTCCCGGAAGCAAGACACAAGCCGAAAAAAATACCCATACTGCTCCAGAGGGCTCCTTATTATAGCTATATTACTCCATACCCCAAAACCCTATTCTAAGTATTGAGGCCCCCAATTTATAGTACCTTATAGTACCCTTTGATATCCTGTAGAAGGGAGCCCTAGTCAATTAAGGCCCCTACGTGATCTGAGGAGCGAAACAGGGCCGGCCTTCCAATCGGCGACTTTTTGTACGAGTTTGGCCCAGGGGCTCAGTGCAGGTGTGGCAAGTTTTCGTTTCGCGTTTAAGTTGCGGCCAGATTGCCCAACCGCGATGTTTTGGAAGGGTTATAACAAAAAGTTTTCTAAATGCCTACGCACTTGGATTTACGATCCCCCCCTACGTGGTCTTGAGTTGAGGATCCGGTTTGCAGTTAAGGGATTGATGGCTTGGTGCCTCAAGGTTCAACTTTAAAACCTACCGCAACCCCCCAAAATAGGTAAAATACTAGCCCAAACCTATAAAAGTCCATTGTTCTACATACTCTTGGGGTCAAGCCTCCGGAGCGCCGCAAAACTGAACAGGAGATCAGACCGCTACTAGCCTCTGCACATCTCTGCGTGATATAACATGGGGTGCGCAAAAGATATCATCACTATACAGCTCGTTATTATGGTTTGACTGTCATCTACCCCAAAGCTCCGTTCTACTGAAGGCACCTACATCAGGAGGTGTGGTTGCCTGCCTTTCCACCTTGAGGTCGGGGCAAAGCAACCTCGGTCACTGCGCAGGCTCCGGGCTTTGTCATCTTGCAGGGTCCGCTGCCTAATGCATCCTACAGCCCTGTGCCCTAACGTGTCTCCGTCCCTCTTTTCAGAACTCGAACCTTGAGCAAACTAGCCATGGTAGGGATGCTGTCATAGCCATGAAGCATTGCGGCGCATCAGCAGCAGCAGCAGCAGCACACGAGGCCATGCAGCAGCATCCCCGAGCATAGCGGAACTGACATGAATGACAGTCACACTTTCCGCGACAGCGTGGTGATCGCTAGAAAGCCCGAGATATGGCAGCCGGTACAGCTAGCACTGGAACAGCAACTGTTAAGATGTTCTTGCTGACCTATCGATACAGAAGCTGGTTGTGCAACTGCTACTGACTCTGTGGGAAGACCTCGTGTTTCCTTAGTTTTCTGTCTTCTTGTCTGCTCAAACCCTAAACCCTAAATTTGCTGTCTTGCGAGGTGCCACAGGACCCCGACCAGTCGAGGCCTTATAAGTGGCGGCCACTACAGTAGCTCAAATCCAGCAAGGTGATTGACAAAGAACTATCAAAGGGTTTAGGCTTTAGAGTTGTTTATTGTCAGTATTCTTGGTATCAGCCTGGCTATATGGGTAGTTGTCAAAATTATGGTCCCTTTTGGCTGCCTTAAATGCGAGGTGCCGTATTATAATCATAGTAGGGACCCAAAAAGGGACCATCATTTTTTGACAACTACCCATATGTCGCAGTGTTGTTTCTGCTACTCTGAGTTATCGGGCCGCGGAGGCCCGCATCCCCATGCCGGGAGCGATTCTGATGGTCCTGGGGTGCTGGGGTCTTCAGGTGTAGAGCAGTGTAGGTTTCAGGGTTTGTAAAGGTTTCAACGGAAGTAGCCCACTTCTGTAAGTTCAGTTGGGCAAGGTGTGGAAGAAGAGAGGCCCGAAACCAAAACCTATCCTGTCGTCGAGCGTTAATTCCAAGCCCCGACGAAGGCCATGTTTTATAGGATCCTTAAGGGAGGGTGGTTCGTAGGGGAACCTTAGGGAGTACTAGGGAGAATTAGGGATCACTAGGCTACATACCCCCCTTGGACCCCCCTCCCTTAAGGATGCTATAAATGTTCCCAACAGGAACGCCAGCCCAGGCTCAGAAGCAACCCTTAAAGGTTTCATCCTAGCGGTTTAGGGTTTAGGGTTTAGGGGACCCTAAGATCAATGTCTTCACGCGTCCTAACCCTATAGCTCCAACTCCACCAAAACCCGACCCCTGAAATTTCTGGAGCCTACCTATAGTCTCCATTGTAGTTCCTTTTTTTGGTTAACCAAAATCTCTACTATAAGATCTCTAGCCATAAAATTGGTTAACCAAAAAAAGAACTACAATGGAGACTATAGGTAAACCCTAAACCCCGAACCCCACGGCAGAGAGCTTAGAGTTCCAGTCCCACTGCGCCGGCCCTTGACATTCAGATATTGCAGCCCCATGGTAATATAATTAGGATAAGGAATCCCCCAAGCCTTACTCTAATTATGAAGGCCCCTACGTTAGGAGACAGGCTCTAAAGCCCTCAGAGAGCACTAGAGTCACTAGAGGTCGCCAGCTCCCAAAATGGGTGATAACTCAAGACAGCTCTTCGAGGAGCCTGGGTTCTTAGGCTGTCGAGGGCTTTGAAGCTTTAGCCTTGCTTTAGGGTTAGGGTTCAGGATTTTGGGTTTAAGGTTTAGGGTTCATTGCGAGTTTCGTTGGCGCTGGCCGGCACCTCAGTCCGTGCTGAAAAGGGTTGGTTGATGTAGGCTGAAGGGATTCAGGGCTTAGTGCAGTGCAGTGCCTGCTCCAAAAATCCTTGATTTAGGGCATTGAGTCTGTCAGTTGTGCACTGGAGGCTTTGTCGCGTTTCCGGCGTGTTTTTGGTGTGTGAAGGATCTGGGGCTGATTATCGGCTGAGGTGGGAAAGGTTGTAGGGTTCATTGATGGCAAGGCAAGACAAAACGTAGGAATTTAGATGCTAAGCTGCGGCGAGGCTGAAGTTTGTTAAAGGTTTTGGTTGCGTAGCACTTTGACACCTGCTTCTTCTGCTGCTGCTGTTGCTGATGTGCTGAGTATGCCTTCGCTTTAGACGCGAGCGCCATTGCTGGGTGCACTCATTCTGAGACACAGTCAGTGGGCTGCAGCTGCCGGCTATCAAGTGGTCATGAACCCAACCTGAAGGATCAGGGAATCTGATGTAAGGTGCAACCGCCCATGAGCCGTCAAGCAAACACCAAGCTCCCGGGAAGTAATTAGCAGTAGCGTGCCTGAAGCATCTATTGGCGATTTCCTGGCGTAAGGCTCATGCATTCCGATGCGCCAATTTGAGACACGGTTGGACAAGCTTACCTGGACCACCAAAAGTATTTAGAATAGTAGCCTTTTATATGGTTTCGGCCATTACTTTAGTTACTTTCGGAGGTTTATATAGGTAGAAGCGACCAGAGACTCTAACTAACCTACTTACGAAGGCTGCACCTTTCGTTGCAGTTCTGAGACAGATGCAGATGCAGGAGACAAAGAGACGGTCCTACCGGCATCTCTTCGACAGCTTGACGGCGAAGGATCCCGAGGCAATCACCTGGGAAGTATTATCTCAGGTGTTCGGTTCAGGGTTTAGAGGAGGCGAGTATTATCTCACTATTGCGGGCTCGTAGCCTCAGGCCTCAGGATTAGAGCATTAGGATTTTAGGGCTTGAGGTTTAGCGCTAAGGGTTGAGGCGTGTCATAAAGACTTCATACCCATGGGTATGATGTTAGCCGCTAAGCAGCAGCACCAAGAAGCCAGCGCGGAAGCACGCACAGCTGAATATTTGCGTTAGGGTCGACATGGTGTATTTCTCTTCCTTTGGAGCATGCTATACTCTGCTAAAGGTTCTTGAAGCCTTGTTATGTGACTTAGAATTTTTACTCAACCAGGCTAAATATACAGTTTCACATGATATGATTTATTCTGATATTAGACCAGAATATTCTCAACACTTTACTAGTCTGCACTATACTGTACTCTACCGTGCTATGCTGTACACAAGATTTTTTTAGAAGGCGACATTCCATGCTCCATGGGCTCGATTGATGCGACGTTGATGCAGACTCCGGATTGATTACTGCAGTAAACTCCTTCTTCAAGACCAAATATGACACCCTTCTTACGGGAGGGGGTTTGGCCAGAAGGGGTCTACTTCATTAAACGACAAGGCGTGAAAGTTCAATCCTCCACCGATATGGAGATCCCATGAGATCCCCCTAATCGCGAAACCCTATACCGTATACCCCCACAAACCCGGAGCCCGAAATGGGCAAGGGCCAGCTGGCAGCGGACACGATCACCTTGGACGGATCCGTCCTCAAGTTTGCCTGTGATAGGGGCCCCATGATAGTACATACATAGGCCCTATAGTGTTTTTTTGGTAACCCGTTTAAAACAGTCTAACCCCTCAACTATCAGGTACCCGGAAATTCCCCGTAAAGCAACCCAGACATTATGATGCCCTGAGAGTACCCTTAAAGAAGCTCTTATGTTATGGTACCCTTCCCTTACCCTTAAACAACCCCTGATATGGACATGCACCTTGAGCTGGGTCTGGGTTGTTAAGGGATGTACTTTGAATTGCTATACTACTCGTAGGGACCTACAGTAAATAACATGGTTTCCTTGTTATGGTAACTTTAACTCAACCCCGCGACAAGAACCCAGTGAGGAAGGCAAAGCGAGAGGGAAAAAACACACAGTGAGGGTAATGGGTGGGAGGTTCAGGCTCGTCGAGCTTCGACAGAGCTCTTGGGCTTTCAATGGCCGAAAGTAGATACTTTTGGAGTTCCTTTAACGCTCCTTTGAGAGTGCTGTGACTTGCAGGGGGTTTTGCATAGTAAAGGGGCCTTCCTAACCGATAGTAGAAGCATCTAGAGACTATGAGTGGATGTCATGGCTGGGGTATTCCGAACCGGACAGTACTACAGCATGGCTTCAGACTCCCGGGTAGGGTTTTGTTTTGTGTACTCCTTTTTCTGGCTTTTGAGGTTTAGGGCATGGATTTGCAGTTGTATGTCCTTGCTTCCCCTGCGCAAGGCTACGGCAGTGAACGAAGACACAACTTCGGCTTAGTAGCTGGGTAGGTAACCTTGAACGCTTTGGGATGTCATATAATACTACCATAGTTGAAAAGCCCAAAGGGTCCAAGTATCATCTTGGTATATACTTAGACCCCCAAAATACCCGATAAGTCTATACCATCATGATACTTGGACCCTTTGGGAAGTTTAGCCTTTTTGGCCCCTGGACTTCTGTAAGCAGGCCGCCGCATCTCTGAACAGCTTGGCCGATGCCTTGCACCACCCCCACCCGTGGTTTACCTATAGTCTCTATTGTAGTTCCTTTTGTGGGTTTAACCAGTTTTATATTAAGGATCTGAGAAGGTAACCCCAAAAAGCAAGTACAATGGAGACTATAGGTAGTCTCCGACATCGCAAAGAAGCTTGAGATAAGCGCTTGTATGTTTTTGTCAACCCTACACCCTTAGCACATCTCAGAACACGCTGCGGTCAAAATCCTAAGGTCCTAAGTCAGGTGAGGGTACCAAAAGCCGATGCCGTGCCCCCTCCTATCGGCGGAGCGAACCGCTCTCAACTAAGGCATGCCAAAGTCTAAAATAACTCTCTAAACCCTCATTCGGGTGCATGCCATGTAACTATGGGTCACTGTTTTTAGGGTTCTTTATTTAAGGATACATGCTGAGATTTCTTTATGTCCCTGATTTTTCTCAAACCGCCGATATCAGCCTTCACAAGGAACCCTCGTCGTACCCTGATCTTTAAATGCTAAACTATGAAACCGAAGATGGGGCTTCTAAGCTCACTATCATCTCCCGGCCTACGGCCTCATGTAAGCTCAGATCCTTGGGCGGACACAGGGGCTCAAAATAGCCTGTCGAGGTCAGGATGCAGACTTGTGCGAGTTCCTGCGGCCCTTGGCCGGGTCCTGAAAGGCTTCAAGGGTTACAGAATCGGGTGTTGAAAAAGATGGACTTTCCTTGATTTATTCAGTGGTCCAGGGCCCGCTTTTGGGTGTTTCAGAAAAGGGGTGTTCCTTTCTTCTGTTGCAATCTAGGGGGTCTTCATGGGGTTCCATATAAGGGGCGCCTGGGACGTCGGTTAATTGGGTCTTTGGGATCTATGGATTGCATTACAGGTTCAGGGTCTAGGTTTGGGGGGCGTGAGCCTGAGCAAGCCGTCGTTGCGAAATTGTGGGCCTTGTGCTTTCTCTCAAGGTTGGAAGACCGTTTGCCAATCAAGAGCCCGAAGATAAGATCGAGTTCTAAAGATAGAAATTGCAACTTTTGAGCCTAAATGATGAGTACTACTTCCTAGGTTTTCTAGTGTGTATGGAGAACTCGTAGATTGAAACGCTTGAAGAACGCCGTTAGGGTTTGGGGCTCAGGTGTAGAGTTAAGGGTTTGGGAATGCCGGACATACAACCTGTAGAGAGAACCTTCAAGCCCAGCTCTGCTCCGAGGTGTCTTTCTTGGAGGCCACGGGCAAGCGCATAGATTTCTCTGCCTTCGGCACGGGCCCTAGATATGTCGAGCTGCGTCGAGTTGATTCCCAAATCAAAGAACCCCTAATACAAGACCGCCGTGAGGCGCAGAGGAGGGAGTTGGGTATAGGGTTCAGGGACAGTTCGGGGCACCCTAAACCTGAAACCCAATCCCCACACCGAAGCCCTTAAGTCACCAGGGTCTCAGGCCACCCGTAAACTCTCCCTAAAACCTAAACCCCTAAACCCCTAAACCCTAAACCCCTAAACCCTAAACTCTTTAAACCCCACGACTGAAGCACTGTTTATAAGACCCCAAGTCCCCAGACCCTGCACTCTCAGGCGTGTCTAACCTAAAAGAAAAGCGGAGCCCAAAGAGCCCAAGCTTTGAAGCCCTGAAATCCTCAGCCCTAGATTCCCCAAAAGGCCTCCAGTCCTAAAGCCCTAAGACTTAAAGCCTAAAGCCAATTCCTAAACATGTCCGAGTTGCGAGAGCGTAAACCCTAAACCCTAAACCCTAAATCCCAAACCCCTAAACCCAAGCCCTAAACCCTAAACCCACGAAGATCCCGAATCCCAAGGTGCTGCTATGGACCTCCACCGTCAGCAGGCGTATAGGGTACCCGGGGCCCAACATCGGGGCCTCAAAAATCAGAACAGGAGTTTGGTGCAACTACCCATAGGAAACAAAGTAGCTTCTTTTGGGGGTTCATATGCAGAATACTATAAGGTAATCCCCAAAAGGAACTACTACTACTACTACTGCTACTACTACTACTACTACTGCTACTACTACTACTACTCCTGCTACTACTACTACTACTACTACTACTACTACTACTACTACTACTACTACTACTACTTCTACTTCTACTTCTACTTCTACTTCTACTTCTACTACTACTACTACTACTACTACTACTACTACTACTACTACTACTACTACTACTACTACTACTTCTACTACTACTTCTACTACTACGACGACGACTGTGGGGCCTATCGGTATAGTATAGTTTAAGTTGTTATAAAGGCAAAGTATTGGTAATTATGCAGGAGGGTTGTAAAGGGGTATATTATGCTACTGTTATATTCAGGGGTTAGGGCCTAGCAGGCGCGTGTTTACGAGAGGTGCTCGTCGCACCGGGAGGATTTGTCGAGGTGTTTAAAGGCATAGCTAAATGGAGAAAGACCCTAATGCCCTCGACAGAGAGAGAGGGAGAGGGAGAGAGGGAGACGCAGAGGGAGAGATGGAGAGACCGTTGCAGGAGTTTCCGCAGGGCTCCCCAAGCTGGCGGATTTGCTGGTTTAGGGTTAGTTTAGGATTTAGGGGTTTTGCGTCGTGAAACAACCCACACTCTCGGGCTGGAGAGTGGGAATATTCTGGACTTGAACCCTTCGCCCGCATCGCTCCATTCTGCAGGCTGCAACGTTGAACAAAGCTTCAAGGCTTCAAGTTCTACGCTAAACCCTGGCAACCCTAAACCCTATTCCACATGTGACACAGGGTCTCTGAGTCCTTAGGAGCCGGCCGGAAGCCGAGAGCGCCTAGGACCTGATTCTAGGGGTCGTAGTTTTTTGAGGGTCCTATCCGATAAAGTTCTCTAAGTCAGAGTCATTTGTTTTCTGAAGCTCCCACATCTGATAGGCCGTCACGCCTACAGCCCACCTCTTCGCGCGGAATGCGGCTAAGAACGGCAAGGTGAAGGCACCCATTCGACGAGTTGTCTGTCAGACATTGTTCAGGGAAACAGACTTTTGTGACACTGTAGAGAAGTCAACATGATACCATCATCTGCACGGGTTATGTCCATAAAAACCCTAAAAATGTGAAGCATGGTGCAGTCGACCGCTCTGTAGCCAAAGTCTGCACCCAGACCCTAAGGTTTCGAGTGTGGCGCAAATGGGAGTTTCCGAAAATAGGGGAGCCCTAAGATATCACCCTAAATCGTCAGATCCTCGGCATGTCCGAGTGTGAGTGCTGAAATAGTAAGGACCCCAAAATAAGGTACCCCTAATTTTCGGAAACCCGAAAATCTCAATGTCGGCCTACACACCCCGCCCTCCAATCAGAAACTGAGCTTACGTACAGCATAACTTTATCGGGATCCATAGCCAATGGGACGGTTCCCTTCTCATGATAACTTAAGCTTAAGTTCCTTAGCAAGAGCACAAGGGAGAGCTAAGCATCCGGCCCAGGACGCTTCAAGATAGAACTCTCGAGCGCATCTCCAGCACCCCGTACAATCTTGCCGGGTTAAGGGTTCAACAGGAAAGACAACATAATTACCACCATTATTCTTCAGGGTTTCTTACGATACTTGCACTATATTGCGGACGGGGCACGATGTTCAAGATGCCTCGCCTTTCAAGCCCTGGAACTTGAAGGTAATATAGGGGCCTTGATAATTACCTATACTATTTTGGAGGGTTCCTTAGTATTATAAAAATAGAATCATATACCCCCAACACCTATTGAAATTATTAAGGCCCCTATATTAGAGTACCCTTGTAGAACCCCTTAAAGGAATTCCTCATAAACCCCTTTAGAGGAACCCTATTCTAATCATTAAGGACTACATTGCCCCTCGACCCCGTAGCCAAGAGGCCCTTATCCTAAACCCTAAACCCTTTTGATCCCTTAAAGGAGCACTTAAGGATCCCTTTAAAAGCCCTAAACCCTAAATCCTAAACCCCTAAAATCCCCAAACCCCCCTATACCCCCTTAAAGCCTAAACCTTGAACCCTAAACCTTGAACCCTATATGGGAGTTTCCGAAAATGGGGACCCTGATCCATAGTATAAGGACCCCAAATACTGTACCCCTAATTTTCGGAAACTCCTATATACCCTGAGGCTCCATGTACCCATATAGTAGGTACTTAGGCCTTAAAGAGGTCCCTATATGGCTACTTTAAGGCCTAAGTACCTACTATATGGGTACATGGACCTTAAACCCTAAACCCTAAACCCTAACTCCTATATAGTAACTCCCAGATCTCCTAAGCACTGAAGCAACGCAGGGCGATGAGGAGCCACCGGTCCCCAGGATCGATCACAACAGCCTCGGGCCCCGGCGGTTTAGGTTTTTTTTTTTTTTGGCGGTGGTTTAGGGTTTTAGGTTTTAGAGTTCAGGGTTTATAGATTTCAGAGTTTAGGGTTTTAGGGTTTAGAGTTCAGGGTTTAGGGCTTTAGGGCTTAGAGTTCAGGGTTTAGGGTTTTAGGGTTTAGGGGTTCAGGGTTTATAGAGTTCAGGGTTTAGGGTTTTAGGGTTTATAGAGTTCAGGGTTTAGGGTTTTAGGGTTTATAGAGTTCAGGGTTTAGGGCTTTAGGGCTTAGAGTTCAGGGTTTAGGGTTTTAGGGTATAGAGTTCAGGTTTTAGGGTTTGGAGTTCAGGGTTTGGGGTTTGAGAGTTTAGGGGCTCCAGCTCCGGGCGAGGTGGAAAGCCTGTTGCCAAAAGGTGTTCTATTTTTACCTAGTAGGTTTGAATACGCTTGTTGTTCATGCATTTTTGTTTATGGTGCCTGTATTCATCCGCAGTTTAGGGTTGGGTTTTTGCGTTGTACTTGTGTTGGGAATATGGCCTGAGTTTAGGGAAAAGGAATTTTTGGATGCGTTTCATTGTTTTGCTCCAGGGTGTATGGTCTACTGAAGCCCAATCCCTGTATCCTACCATCAGACGTCTGCAAACTTCGGCTGGCTGGTTGGTCTTAAAACTGGTGTTATCTGTAAGTGTCGTGGGGGTTTGGTTCCAATCTAAAAAATGGCTGGGTTTGTGGATGGGTCTGAAATCTAATGCAAGCACAAGTCTTTTGGGGCCCCTTACACCCCTATCCTGCTGCCAACACCACACGACAAGAACCAGTTATGCCCCGTCACTCCACTGCTTTATCCTGCATGCCCAAATCTTAACGCCGAATCCAAGATGCACATCTCTAAAGTCTTGACCCACCCAGCCATATACCTTAGCTCATCAACCTTTTTTTGCAAACCGTTCAAACTTCTACGATGGTTAAGCATAGTTCAAGGCGGGTTGGTGTGCTCGTTGCGCTCTAGCTTCGCTGAAGAACAAGTAGCAACACTGACTGCACTGAGAAGAAGGAACAGCGGTAGAATTAGTGTGCTAGTAGTGGTGGTAGTAGTAGTCGTAGTAGTAGTCGTCGTAGTAGTCGTCGTCGTCGTAGCAGTAGCAGGAACATTCAGTTGCAGTAGTTTTCGTACCATTCCTGCTGCTGCCACTGCTGCTACTACACTATTGCAACTGCTACTACTACTACTACTACTACTACTACTGCTACTGCTACTGCTACTGCTACTGCTACTGCTACTGCTACTGCTACTGCTATTGCTACTACTACTACTACTACTACTACTACTACTACTACTACTACTACTACTACTACTACTACTACTCCTGCTGCTGCTGCTGCTACTACTACTACTACTCCTACTACGGCTACTATTGCAACTGCTACTGCTACTGCTACTACTACTACTGCTTACTACTACTACTACTACTACTACTACTACTACTACTACTACTACTACTACTACTACTACTACTACTACTACTACTACTACTACGGTCCTGCCCTGCCCCTGCCTCTGCGACGGTGCCGCAGACGGTGCCCGCGCCCGCTTCTGCTCCTGCTCCTGCTACTGCCACTGTCACTTGCTACTTGCTGTTGGTACTTGCTACTTGCTATATACTGCTACTGATACGGCTACGGCTACGGCTGCTGCTGCTGCTGCTGCTGCTGCTGCTGCTGCTACTGCTACTGCTACTGCTGTTGCTGCTGCTACTGCTACTGCTGCTGCTGCTGCTACTGATGCTGCTGTTGCTGCTAGTAAAGATAGTACTACTACGACTATAGTACTACTAACTACCACCTTGGTTCAGCGTGCACTTGAGGTCTTTGATGTAGGAGTCTGCACGAGAGGGCATCATGATTGGATTTTCTCGGCTTGCATTGCAAGTATCCGTGAACCTTCTAGCGGGTTCAGGACGAGTTTAGAGTCTTTGGGGTTACGTTCTGCGTTTCCTCCGTGCCCAGGCAGGCAGGCACAGCACAACAGGTTTCGGGATTGATTGTTGGATGTGAAGTTCGGGTACATCTAATAGACTAAAATGACAAGTATCCTGCTCGCGGAGAACCTCAAGTACTACTTCACGCGCAAACGAATCATGAAAAAATCTCGCGACAGACTGCACTGGTGCCTCTGACAGGTCAAGGGCAAGCAGGCGTTTAGGGCATGCGAAACGGGTACACGGAACCGTCACATGGCCTCACCGATAGCTCGCCTTACATGAACTGCAAAAGCATGAAAGGGCCGAAGAGCAACCAGAAGCCCGCATATGCTCGCACCACACCAAATAAAACCAGAAGGGTACCGCAAGAAACGCAGCCGGCAATTACGACATTATTAAAGCTTCAACCCTAAACCTAAGGTCTCTAGTTTTTTCAGGTTAAGCTAATTAAGTCCATCTTCGGGCATGCTTGTGACCAGATCGTAAAAGCCTCGGCGGTGTGAAGTCCGAAGAGTGCTATTACTTGCAGTGAATCCGAGTGTTTGCATTGTATACTGTAGTTATTACGTGTTATACTAGGTTGGTATGTTCCCGTATATCAACCTCCTTTACCTGAACAGCTAACGCAGCGTGCGCTTTGGGGTGCCCAATTGTCGTGTTGCAAACCTGCCTCATTGCCGCAGCAAACTCCCTGCCCCCCACGGAGACAACTTACCAGCGCGGATTCGATTGACGTGCTTCCGATGCGACTATCTTGTGAAACTATGGAGCCCACCACGAGCATGACGGGATGTTGTCAACCCGAACCTAGCCCTTGTACTTTAGACCAGAAGCAACGAGCCTAGAAACCAAGCCTGTTGCTAGCCACTCCATTTCATTTTGTTGGAGAAGGCTTAGGAACTGCAGTTGATGTTCCAAGTGCAACAACCTTGGAATTGTATGCCCGAGTTCAGATCGCCGTTGAAGGGCTTCCACAAAAGATGCGGCCCACCAAAAGCCTGAACCCAATATCCGACCTGTGAAGTCTGGTATGACTCCCAGTCTGGACAACCCAGCGTAAAGAAAGACAGGAGCTGGCCTTGAAATTGGGGTTCGCCGGCAAAAACTTAGGGTTTCAGGTTTGCCCAACTCACAACACCCAGTTGCATTGATATACAAACTCGCTGCCTTTCAAAGTTTCGTGCTACAGCCAAAGTATATGCATGGATGCATAGATGCAAGGATCAATGTATGTCCGTACATATGCTCGTAAATAGGTAAGGTAATGGTCTGTGTCGTATGCCCATGTATGTTTGCATGCGGGCTTGCATGCATGTATGTATGTATGTGGGGCAAAGTTGGTCAGTACGTATGTATATTTATTCACACACACATGCATACATATTTGTATGCACACATGTATGAATGCATGTGCATACATATTTGGTTTTGTTTTTTATGCAGCCACACATACATATCCAAACATATGTCTGCATGCATATATATATACATATGTATATATGTTCATAATTGTAATTAATATATATATATATATATATGTATGTATTCGTTTGTTTGTATGCGCATGTACAGATTTCGGTGGACTCATACGGCAGACTATCCCGCATGAAGACAGCAGGACGAGGGCCAGGAGGGAGGCACAGAAGTTCACAGCGCAGCGAAAGAAGATGCTGGGTTGAACAGACCATAGCGTTTGAGCGTATATCTTCGTCTTCAGACAACCTGAATCTTCGAGCCAGGCTCTACAACAGCCGTTTCGGCGGCATTGCACCAGATAGAAGCAGAGGAAGTCAGGCCAAAACTTGATGCGCGACCCTGAATCTTGAAGTCATGCTAAAAAAAACCTTTGCCCGTAAGCCCTTGTACATCTTCTTCAAAGCCTGATGCCTATACAAGCACGAGGCCATCGTCTTGCTGCCCGGCATAGATCCCGCAGTGTGCCATGGCTGGTTGTTCAGGTTCTTCAGATCACGCGAGAACAGACAGAAACACGGTACAATTGCGTTGCTATTGCTCGTTAGTTGTTGATGTTAGGTTGATGTCATGAGTGTCCCCACTAATTAACTACTGGTCTAAAGTTTCGTTTTGCAATCCGCTAGTAGCGGGCGGGTTACTACTCTTGTAAACTTGAGAGTCGGGTGGGAAAATATTTATGCAATCCCAGTAAGAACTTTTTTGGTTGTCCGAACCGCACACGCAGCAGCGGTTGGTCAGACAAATATGACCGGGCAAGCCAGCTGCATCTCTCTAGGCCTGCAGTCATTCTGAAGTAATGCATGCAACGTGACCCTGAATACTACAGGAGTGTAAATAGGTCTTTATCAATCTGTATATCTATCTATGTGTGTGTGTGTCTATGTACGGCAGCATAAAGGTGAACCCTTCCTTAATCATCAAGGCTTGTGTAGTACATTCGAAGCCACGAAGATTTCCGGCACCCTCCCAGAGACTCCAATATCCCCTAATGAAGGAATATTCCTTAAATCATATTGGGGATCCTACTATAATCTAAGCAATATTCCTTAAATCGTATTAGGGATCCTACTAAAATTTAAGGAATATTCCTTAAGGGATATTGGAGTCTCTGGGGGAGTTCCCGAGCCGTCAACATCGGGCCTTCGGGAACCTTCACGCGCGCCGACAACTTTCCGGTTTTCTGGTTTAGGACTTCCGTTTCAGAGTTAGGCGGCTTTCGTGCACACGTTGTCAGGGCTCAGTGGGCCAAAGGAATTGTCTGGAATCCCTAACCCTGACCCCGTTGAACCAGGAAGACGTGCAGAATCCGTTTGTTTGTGATCGTGCGAGTTTCTCTGAGCTGTGCTTGGAGCGCATGTTGCCCCCAACATGGACATAGTGATGGCACGAGAGAGAAAGAGAGAGAGAGAGAGATCTGTTTAAGATTTTATGGTGCTTCATATAGGCGCAGAAAGTCCGCCACCCCAAGCCACAAACCATGCATCCCACCAAAGCCGAGGTGCCAGTTTACGAGCAACTCCACCGTCGCCGATCTCAGATGTGGAGATCAACCTTGATTTCCGGAATAAACTGTCTCTGAACAAATGAACTTGAACAATACGTGTTGGTTGTCTTACTTATCAGGTATTAACGTTATTCAGGATTCTCAGCAGGTTTGCCATTATTGCCTTACTATAGGGGCCTTAATAATTGCCTATGCTGTTATGGGGTGATTATTTTTTTGTATAATGGGCCCCAAAACCCTATTCTAATTATCAAGGCCACCATATCATTCAACAAAAACGCGACTTCTGGACCTTCGGACCAGGTTGGGAAGATGCGCGTTTCGCACAACGGTCCTTGATAAAGAAGTTATGGGGCCTGGGGTCAGAATCCTGCTCTAAGATAGGGGTCTGCATAAGTGGCAACGCAGATCTATACTGTTCCAGAATAGCTATGTTTTTTATACTATGTTTACCATCATGAACCCCAAGACCATATTCCAAGTATTAAGGCCCCTATCTTAAGAAGCTTCGAGCTACTGCAATCTGTTTCCGCTGGGACCATCCGTGGTTCAGCCCTTCCCAACACAAAGATCGAAGCATGCGGATTGAACCTTGGGTCCTGAGTCAGGCCTTGGTGACCCAAGTGCTCTCGTAAGTCTAATAGGCCTTAATGAAGAAGGTTTAGGCTTTCGGGTTTAGAACTGTCGGAACGCCGATCCCTTAAACCCAATTTGATTCTTCGGGCCTGTGCACTGGACGGAGTGCATGTGACCATCGACACTTGTCGGCTGCAGGTTTAGGGTTTAGGATTAAGCCTTTTGTTTTTTTTTATTGGTTCCAAGTAAATACAATTAGTGCAGAACCTCTCCGGTCTGTATACCGGGTTTAGGATCGCTTGCAATCAGCCCCTGCCGGGCTGAAAGAGTGGAAGGTGTAGCACAAGCACTTCAACAACCACTAGTGCACATCATCATGCTCCCGTCATTCTACCTTGTCTAGCTGCAATCTCCCAAGACCCTGGTCATAGCCTGTTGCCACCCGAAGCCCTGGATCGACATTCCCCCTCTGGATTTCTAGCCATCTCAACTGCTCTTTGCTTGCGACAAGCTTTAGCCGGCAAGTATTAGGCGTCCACGTCTGGGTTTTGGGTTGCTGGATTCCTGTGTGGGGTGCTGGATTGAGAGTACGGGCACACGGTAGGGTAGACGGTATCAAGCACCATGCTTGGTGGATCATGTTGGTTTTTTCAATGTCCGTCATTGCCAATTACAACACACCCTACACCCTAAAACCCCTAAACTCTAAACCCTATCGAGCGCCGAAACCCCTAAACCCTAAATCCTAAACCCCTTGTCATCTTTGTTGTGCCTCTGATGAGGCGAACGCGACATCAGAGATGCGCGCATGGAGGAGTCATCGCCTCAGGTCACAGGCATCCATTGCAGTCCATGGCGAATCTCGGTGTCTCTGTGAAGCTTGGGATGTCCATAAAGGGTGTTTCTATATATATATATATATACACACATAGAATTATACACGAATGCATATATATATATATATATATAATCATATTTATGTAATCATATACTTTCTGTTCTAGTCTTTGAATGATTACATAATTAAGCATGCATATGCATACATGTGTGTAGAGGTATATTTGTATGTACGTAACCGCTTGCCTTGGTCTGACAGTCAGGTCTCTGGGGCACCTTCGGCTCCTGTTCTGTTCAGGGACAAGGTTGTTTTGCCTGGCGGTTTAGGCTTATCGTGCATTGATGTCCGGGGTTCTGCTCCTTTCCTTCCCAGACCCGAACACTCAATCCCTATGCCTTCGGCTCTGATGTCCCTGTCAGGGATCGGATATTCCTTAAGGGAGCCTTCTCATATGTATATTCTACTGTACAACAAAATCGATTCTAATTGTTGTTGAGCCCTATGTCCTAGAGGAGCGTCAGTTCCATCTCCGACAACCTCTGTCAGAGTTGAACTTTAGTTTAGTGCTTCCAGGTTACAAAGCTTTTGGAGTTTACCTATAGTCTCCGTTGTAGTTGCTTTTTTTGGTTAATTATAACCTGAACCTAGATCTCTATTAAAAGATCCTATCCATAAAAGTGGTTAACAAAAAAGGAACTGCAATGGAGACTATAGGTAGGGCTCCTGATGGGATTCAAGGCTCCAGCATTGGCGATGCGACGACTGCTGAAAGAAGACTTAGGGCAAACCCCATAAAGTTGGAATCCGGATTAAGGCCAAATAGTGCAGGGATTCCTCTCTTGAGGGTTGAGGCTACGGGGTTTCCAACTTTTGGCCTTTTACTGTAGGGTGTCAAGGATAGGTGCTGCCTTGCAGAGTCGAGTTCGGCAGACATGGCACATGGCTTTTCTGGTATAATCCCGATTACCACGAAAAAAGAGGAAAACGCACCTGCACAAATCAGCATCTTCGTTGAGTAGGATCTGTGTGCTTCTCGGAGTAGGGGCCGTCTGGGGGCCGAACACGATAGCATCGGTCCGTTTTAGCGGCTTGACGTCTCAACGGGTTTGGGCTTCTTTGTGAGATCCGGATTCACTATCATGACCTTTGGTTAGTAGGGAATGGAGGAATGGGGTACACTTGTAACTACTATTACTACCATTGTTCCATTCCCTACTCACCAAAGGTAACACTCTCCACGGCACCCTGCCCTTACGCCATGAATCCGCACAGCTCGCAAGACGTTCATGGGACTGTGGCACTGGTCATCCTCCGATGTGCATATGGGGGTTTCCGAGAATTAGGGGTACCTTATTTTGGGGTCCTTATAATAAGGATCCTACTATTTAGGGTAGGGTGCCCTATTTTCTGAAACTCCCATCTGCATGTGAACGTTTCCCTCCGTGGTTCCACGAGTTGTCCGTGTTGTTTAGATTCCTCGATCTGTCTAATGTAGAAGCCTTGGGCCTCTTTTGGGGGATCCTTATTTGAGTCCTGCTGTTTTGGGCTTATAGACCTAGGACCTAGAGTTTCTTAATCCGGTTCCTACACTACAAAGTTGCCTGCTACCTGTGCTCAGAGCTAGCTACATGTAGATGTGCATGGCCGGTTGTTGGATGTTGGGTTGCCATGCCAGTGATGGCAGAGCTAATGCACTGTGAATTGCAAAAGAAGCTATTGCCTCGGAACCCGCCTATGTTGGAAATACCCGGAGAAGTAACATAGGGGCCTTAATACTTTTTTGGGGTTTCCTTACTATAAAGACAGTATAACCGGACCCAAAACCCTATTCTAGTTATTGAGGCCCCTATATTATAGTACCCTTATAGAGCCCCTTAAAGGAACCCCTTATAGACCCATTTAAAGGAACCCTATTCTAACTATATATTAAGGCCCCCTGGGTTCCTACCAGCAACCCCTAAGCTGCCCCTCAGCCCCAATGACCCAGGCGTCGGCTTATGGCAGAAGAGCAGGAACTGCAGGTGCCTAGGGCCTGGAAATCCCAAAAGTAGGTGTAGCTACCTTATTTTGGGGTCTTTATTGTTAGGATCCTACTATTTAGTGGGGCCCGGTGTCAGCGTTTAGTATAGGAGCCTGGGCTTTTTGCATCTGCCTTGCAGTCTGTCTTTACACGTAGACGAGTACCCATTCAAACCATTCACGCAATCAAACAGACATCCACGACTCGGGCGCAGACATGTAGTTGCCAAGTCGTTTCTCAGAGCTGATTGTGCTAGACCTGTCCATCGTACCTACAGTCTCCATTGTAGTTCCTTTTTTGGTTAACCAGTTTTATGGTTAGGATCCTATAATAGAGATTTTCGTTAACCAAACAAAGGAACTACAATGGAGACTATAGGTAGTCTGTGCCTTCAGATCATGGGTCGGAGCAACAAACCTAAACCCAACACACCCAAGATGCCTGGATAGTCCGAGTCTGAGCGCCGAAACAACCAGGATCCAGACACCAGGGTTTAGGGTTCTAGGAGCAGAATCAGGAGACGTTTAGAGGCTAACTGGTTCGAGAGCCCCGAAAGTGCAAAAACCTCGTAGCCTGAAGCGCAAAACCCCTAAAGGGCTTTTCGGGTTTAGGGTTTGGGGCGGGGTTCAGTGTCGGGGTATTGGATTTTTCCCGAACATCGGATAAAGGGGCTCTTAATAGTACAGAGACCTCAGTCCGACCCATTTTGTGACGAGGGGCACCTTTTGTCCGAAGATCGCTCGAAAAAGAACCCCCCGAGCCCCAAACCCTAAACAATTAAATCCCTAGAAAACTGTTACTGTTCTCAGCCGTTATAGTGCCCCATCAATCATAGAACCGGTTAAAGGAACCCGAAGACCCTATGTAATCCTATGAATCGTGGAAGCTTGCTTAAATAAATTTTAGTAGAAAATACCGTATGTTATGCCCCTAAAACTGGCTGCGCGCGGCCGCTGGTGATCAGCTGGGCACCAGGCAGGAGGAAGCCGAACCACCCTGTGGTCCATAGACAATGCCTGATCTTGGCAGTCATCACGCCCCAGCTTGGAAAGCATGGCCTCTCCAATCAAGCCGAAGGCTTCGGCTCGCCAAAGCGAAGTCATGGACGCAGAGGCTGACGAGGATCGGCCGTTATTGCCGCCAAAGTACACGGAGCATGCCGGGATGCAGCTGCATGCGAGCAGACCTCTGCGAGTGCTGCAGGAGCTCCGTCAATGCTCTCAATCTTGAGCCCGCAAGAAGCACTGGCATAGAGATTGTGGGTTTGCAAGCGGTCTTGGCTTCTGTTGGAGAGGGTCCAAAGATGCGAGAGCCAAGATCTGCGGCAACAAAAAAATTCACCCTGCTTAGTGCACTCAGCCATGCCGGAGGAGGCAAAGAAAAGGCCCCTGCATTGCGGAGTTCCGCTTCCGTCGCAGACCCTAAACCCATAACTACTGAATCCTAAATTCCTTATTGAACCCTAAACCCCCAAACCCTAAACTCCTAAACCCTAAACTCCTGAACCCTAAACTCCTGAACCCTAAACTCCCAAACCCTAAACTCACAAACCCTAAACTCCTAAACTCCTAAACCCTGAAGGAGTGCACTTTCCGGCCAAAGTTGCGAAGCCGCAGTGCCGGGAACCTCTCTCGCCTCCCTAGCCCCCGCGGCCCGGATCTCAGTTTGCCGTCTCCTCGTCTGCCCTGATCATAGTCTCCATTGTAGTTCTTTTTTGGTTAACCAATTCTATGGTTAGGATCTTATCATAGAGATTTTGGATAACCAAAAAAGGGAACTACAACTGAGACTATAGGTGAGTCGGCACATAAACTCGGATGCCCAGGGGGGTCCCTTTTCGGGTTCCTGAAAGGGATCCATAAGGGTTGCTATAAGGGTCTTTATGAGGGTTACGGGACTAGGATGCCCAGTAGTACCCCTATTCCCTTTTTGTAGTCCTAGGCTCCTTATAAAGGTACCCAAGAAGTATGTAAATTAATGCCCCAAAACCTATAAAAGGCTATTATTCTACATACTTCGGGGGCCCAGGTTAGGTTTTTTTAAGACGAGCGAAAGGTTCAGGGTTTTGGGTTTAGGGTTTAGAGGAACAACAGCTTCAGCATGCTTGCACGTAGACTGCCGAGTGGCCACGCCTAATCGCTGTGTTCGGGCATGTGATGGCCACTCCCCATGCACCTGAGACCTTACGTTTTGAAAGAAGAAAGGTCCTGCAACTCGAACTAATTACTCGCCTCATCAAGAAATGGTAAGCAGGTTTCATCTCCGGGAACCTCAGCCATGAACCCTAGGAGTCGTTGCGACCCCTAAACCACCAAACCTTACACCGTTCCACCCGATCTAACCCGTGCCAGCACAGTGCGAGTACGAGCGTCGAAATGCCTGAACCGCCTGCCTAGGTCACACCAGACTCTTCGGAGAGTTTGCCCGGAGCGCCTCCCTGCAGAGAGCCGCTTGGAGTGTAATTTGCGAGAGCATTGGTTCTGTGAGCTCTGGTTGAGGATCTGATTGGGGTCGATTCGATTTTCATTGTTGGCATGTCCGGTTTTTTTGAATTTTTCAGCACCTTTATTTATCCTGTGTTGTCTCTGCAGCCCTACCTTGGGTGATACTCCGCGGTGTTCTATTCCTCCTACGCTCCGAAATCCAAACCTCTCCTTAGCCGCTTGATCCCGAAGCACATTGTCGGTGTTGTTGTTTGCTTGCTTGCTTGCTTGCTTGTTTGTTTATTTGTTTGTTTGTTCGTTTGGTTGCGTGTGTGTGTGTGTGTGTGTTTGTTTTTTGTTGTTGATTGATTGGTTGTTTGCTTGTTTGTTTCTTTGTGTGTGTGTGTGCTTGCTTGCTTGCTTGCTTGCTTGCTTGCTTGTTCTGTTGTTTGTTGTTTCCTTGTGTGCTTGATTGTTCGGTTGTTTGCTTGGTTTCTTGTGTGCTTGATTGTTGTTTGATTGCTTGCTTGTTTGAAGGTTTGGTTGCTTACTTGCGTGTTTGTTTGATGGTTTGTTTGATTGATTATTTGCTCGTTTGTTTATTTGTTTGTTTGCGTGTTTGGTTGTGTGATTGCTGCCTTGCTCGCTTGCTTTGTTTGTTAGGCAGGTTGGTTGTTTATATGTTTGTAAGCTTGCTTGCTTGCTTGCATGCTTGCGTGCTTGCCTGTTTGAGTGTTTGATTGTTTGTTGCGGTTTGTTGCTGCTTGCTCTCTTGTTTTTGTTTGTTTGTATGTGTGTGGTGTTTTCTTCGCTTGCTGGCTTGCTTGATTGTTTGCTGGCTTGCTTGCTTACTGGTTTTGCGTTTGTTGTTGGCTTCTTGTCCCATGTTTGGTTTGTCTGTCGTGTTGCTGATGATCTTCGTGGGTAGGTATGTAGGCAGGTAGGTGGGTGAGTAGGGACGGAGGGATGTTGTAAGCTTTGGTAAGCAGAAAATTCAGTACTTGACAAGGTGGGAAGAAACGCAACGGCGCAACAGTAGGTAGGTCCGTTACTTTCGTGAACGCTTTCGTCTGAACCGTAGCACAGAACATCGGGCTAGCTCTGGCGCAGTAAGGCCAGATGTACCTGCCGTGTTCAAGAGCACTTTTTGCAGTTCTTTGCTCTGAGACCATATGCCAGTGACCATACTTACGTATATATATATATATATATATAGAGAGAGAGAGAGAGAGAGAGAGAGAGAGAGAGAGAGAGAGAGAGAGAGAGAGAGAGAAAAAAGAGAGGGAGAAAGAGAGTGAGAAAGAGAGGGAGAAAGAGAGGGAGAAAGAGAGAGGGAGAAAGAGAGTGAGAAAGAGAGGGAGAAAGAGAGGGAGAAAGAGAGGGAGAAAGAGAGGGAGAAAGAGAGGGAGAACGAGAGGGAGAAAGAGAGGGAGAAAGAGAGGGAGAAAGAGAGGGAGAAAGAGAGGGAGAAAGAGAGAGGGGGAGAGGGAGAGGGAGAGGGGAGAGCCAGTTCTCATGGCTATCACTCAACCAGAGTTGGAAAGACATGATTAGTAGCAAGGCTACAGCACTTAGAGCAGCAGTAGCTGTCATACCAGGCATCGCCAGTAGTAGTGACATCGTAGCTGCATTAGTGAACTGTCAGATACCGCTTGCAAGCAGGCAGGCCCAGTGGTGACCTTCCCAATCCACACCTTCCGAAATGAGAGTTTCCGAAGTTAGGGGTACCTTAATGTGGGGTTCATAAGGATCCTACTATCTAGGGCACTATATCAGGGTCCCCTTTTTTCGGAAACTCTCAAATTGAGATCTTCGCTCAGGACGGCATCATGTCGCCTCGGGGAGGACCTGGCAAGGGCCTGAACTTGCTTGCTGCAGGATTCAGTTCGGCGAGTCTAATCTGGAACTCCGAACCCCAAACACCAGCTACACCCCAAACCCGGCCACCACGAGACTCGCAACGCCAGTAGTTGCAGAAGCTGGAAGCAACACAGTCACTGGACTTGTGCGCAGCGACAGAAACCCTCATTCCAACGCCGAGCAGTCGAGCGACCCTCACGGAAGCCCTGCAAGGCGAACTGTTTGACATTTTTATACAACATAATATATTATAGATGATACAGTTTGTACAGCTTAAATATAAAATATTGTAGTATAATTGCATTCGACCGATATGAGTTCCCCGACGCTTTGACTTCGAAGCCTGAGCAGTGTTCTTCTCACTTCTTTCATATGGGCGGTTGTCAACATTAGAGTCCCTTTTTGGGTCCTTGTTCTATTACGGCACCTCATATTAGGGTACCCCAAAAGGGACCATAATTTTGACAACCACCCATATGTGTATACTGCAGTATCCCGCAAAGCCTTTTCTGATTATTAAGGCCCCTGTACTACACAACAACTCAGGCGTCCAGTCCAGGGTACCTCCAAGGACGCCGAGAGGCCGGGGTGCTCGGGAAAGGGGTGGACGAAGTTTTCAGGTTTAGGGGATAGGGGAAGCGGCCTAAACCTCAAAGTAACAGCCAAGGAGTCGGGGGTAAGGGCATCCTGGCGAGGTTTCTCTGGGTCGAAGCATTCAGGCATGGAGAGTTTCGAGGTCTTGTAAATGTGATGCCTACAGCAGGTCCATACCGGCATAGAGTTTCCTCAACCTAAACGCATGAATGCTCATTGAAAATCTTATAGCCGTGTTGAGGCTTTGATTACAATGCTTGTTACGACACTTATCAGCGTAGCCTGCACATTCCCTGTCCTTGCCCTTACTAGAATAGGATATGATTACTCCTGGACTGTTTGTTAGCAACACGATACCCCGAAGCCTTGTTCCGATTGTCAAGGCCCTCATTGTAGATAGACTCCAAATCCTAAGCCCTTGTACCAAACCCTTCAAGGAACTTTAAACGAGCCTAATTCCAATTACCTTTTCTTAGGAACCCTTGAAGAAACCCTATTCTAATGACTGCGGCCCTGATATTATCCCGAACATAAAACCGTATGGAAGCCTTCTCAATCCGATACAGGCAACCCTAACCCTAAACCTTAAACCCTAAACCAGAGCCTTCTCAATCCTATACAGGCAACCCTAAACCCTAAACCTTAAACCCTGAACCGAAGCCTTCTCAATCCTATACAGGCAACCGTGAACCCTACACCTTAAAACCTAAACTGGAGCCTTCTCAATCCTATACAGGCCCTTGTACACAATCCTGTAACACTGCTGACCCTTGAAGAAATCCGCGCAGAAACCTTCATGAACTCCTATAGAAGCCCTCTAACTCTCGGAGTGGTCCCTTTCAAACGGCAACGAAAACATCGCCTTTTACCCGGAACCATAAGCCCCATAAATCCTAAACCTAAACCCTAGTTCCTGAACCCTAAATCCTTTGGACAAATTTCACCTTAAATCCTAAGCCCAAAACCCTAAACCCTTGAAGCCCTATATAGTTCCTAAACCCTATATAAATCCTAAACCCCAATTCCGAAAACCTTTTTCTAATTATTAAGGCCCCTATATCCCGATATCTCTTATAGTATCCCTTATAGTAGCCCTTATAGACCCCTTCAAAGGAACCCTAAACCCCTGTATAGACAGTGTAGACCCCTTTAAAGGAACCCTAAACCCTATATAAACAGTGTAGACCCCTTTTAGAGGAACCCTAAAAACCCTAAACCCTAACACCCTAAACCCTAAAAGAAACCCTAAACCCTAGACCCTTTAAAGGAACACTAAACCCTTTAAAGGAACCCTAAACCCTTTAAAGGAACCCTAAACCCTTTAAAGGAACCCTAAACCCTTTAAAGGAACCCTAAACCCCCTATGTAAAACCCCCTGTTCTGGGCGCTCCAGGCCCCGGTCTTCCCGGAGGGCCGGGACCCATCTCCAAGGGGCCAGAGCCTCTCAGGGGCTCCTTAAATTAGGGGTCTTTAAAGGGATCCGTTTCTAAAGGGATTCCTTACATCAGGGGTTTAGTGATTAGGGATTTAAGGTTTATAGGGATTAGGTAGGGTTTAGGGGCTCCTTAGATTAGGGGTCTCCCTTAGGGGCTCCTGTAAGGGATCTATAGGGCTTTAGGGCTTTAGAGGTTTAGGGGTTTAGGGTTTAGAACTTCGTGATGTTTATTTAGGGCTCCTTGAAGGGGTCCGTTAGGGTTCCTTTAAGGGCTCTTTCCTTAAAGTATGGGTTTAAAGTGATAAGGGGTTTAGGGGTAAGGGGTTTAGGGATTAGGGATTTAATATTTAGGGATTAGGTAGGGTTCAAGGGCTCCTTAAATTGTGGGTCTCCTTTAAGGGCTCCTCAAAGCTCCGTTAGGGTTCCTTCAAGGGCTCCTTCAAAGGGCTCCTTACGCAGACCCCTAGGAGGATCCTTTAAAGGGATCGGAGGGTTTAGGGTTTAAGGGTTCAGGGGTTTAGGATTTAGGGTTTAGGGAAAAGGGTCTAGAAAGTAGATCCCCTAATTTGTTGCCTTATACTACTAAGGGTACTTTATAGGAACCCCCATTAAGGGGTCTACTTTTTGGATCCTCCCGGGGGTTTGGGTAAAGGGCTCTCCATTACGGGCTCCTTGAAAGGGTATGTCAGGGTTCCTTTCAGGGCTCCTTTAAGGGCTCTTAAAGGGTTCCTCAAAGTAGGGGTTTAGTGATCAGGGGTTCAGGGGTAAGGGGTTTAGGGATTAGGGGTTTAAGGTTTAGAGATTAGGTAGGTCCTTTAATGGCTCTCCTTCAAGGCTCTTAAAGGGTTCCTTAAAGTAGGGGATTAGTGATCAGGGGTTTAGGGGTTTAAGGTTTAGGGGTTCAGGGATTCGGGGTTTAGGGGTTCAGGGTTTCAGGGATTAGGGGTTTGGGGGTTTAAGGTTTAAGGTTTAAGGGTTAGGGTTTGGGGGTTTACAGGGTTCCTTCAAGATGTGCTTGAAGCGCTTCATAAGGGTTTCCTGTAAGTGTTTGTGTAAAGGGACCCTTTTAAGGGGTGAAAGAAGTTGTTATTCAGCGTTAACGGGCTATATATATATATATATATATATATATATATATATGGGGCTTTAGGTGTTTGCTTTCTGAGCGCATAGGAGTTTCGGGTATAGGGGGGGTGGTTTTAGGAAGTGTGCTAAAGCTTTGCGGAGCTTATGTGCCGTGGTGGGATCTGTGGAGTCATGTCAAAGCTGTTGTGGGTTTATGTGGGAATTTCCAAAAATAGGGGACCCTAATGTAGGACCCTGGAAGTAGGATTCTTACTATAAGGACCCCAAAATAAGGTACCCCTAATTTTCGGAAACTCCCATGTTTTGGGAGCTCCGCACATGCGTTAGCTGCGGTTAGCTTTGCTCCACTTAGGCAGCTTGGGGTTCTGAGGGAGTCTTGCAGAAGGCTTACTGTAGGAACCTGATTAAGAAACCTTGGGCCTTTATTAGGGCTCCTTATATGAACCCTACTAATCTGGGGTTATAGGCCTAGGGTTTCTTAATCAGGTTCCTACATTAGTGGAGTCAGGGCTTGCTAGTTTGGAAAGTGTTTTGCTTCGCTTGGGAACCTCGAGTCAAGGAGTAGGGCTTAGCGCTTTCAGGTTTAGGATTCAAGGTCGAAGTTTAGGGTCTAGCGAGTTTTGCGAGAGTTCTAGTTCGTTTCGGTGCATTCTAGTATCCCTCACCCAAAAACTAACGGTGAGACTGAGTAGCCCAAGGACAGGGGAGGCTATGCCCAAGCTGCCGCGACCTGGTACCCCACGGACAGCATTAGCGACGGCTTGGCCCTGAGTTGTTGTGCGTTTTCTGCTTTGGGGTTCGGGGTTTTCGAGACCTCGAGTTGATGGTTTTAGGGTTTGGGGGGCTGTAGCAACCAGTTCGTTGGTTTTTCAGGGTTCGGGTGGCTTCGAGGCTTTAGGGCAGGGTGGCTTTGCTATCAGTGGCGGTATCAGTCTTGGGCACATGGGACTGTTGGGGTTTCATTCGGGAAGGACGGTTTGGAACCTGCGCAAGCCCTTGCAGTTTTCGCCGATCGGGCTTACGAGGATTAGGTTCCTGAGTAGTATTCTTTTTTGCACTTTTGTGTTTAGGGTCCCCTTATGAAAGCCGAAAGGTAAGCACCACAGTAATTACCCGTATTATCTCTGTTATAAAGGGGCGACTCAGACTTTACAATCATTTTTCAGAGGTGGTCGAAGACAAGCCTAGGAAATACCACCCCCCAAAGTTTCATCAGGGGTCTCACGCTGCCAGGGGCAACCGAAGGGGCCCCAGAGCTTTCAGTTGGTTTACTAGGACCTAGAGTAGGCCCTTATTCCCTTTTTTTAGGGTTCAGGTTCCCTTATAAGCCCCCTTTAAACCAAAAAGGGCACCCTTTTTATTCCCAGGCTTCTCTTAGGTCTAGTGAAAGTTGCAGTATTTCTTGAAAAGCCATACTGCGGCTTAGATGCCTGAGGTTAGACGTCGTCAACCGCACAGCCCGAACAGACTTCCAGTCCGTTTAAGGTTCAGGGAGGTGCTTTGTCATGGCTCTCGACATGGGAGTTTTCCAAAAATAAGGGGCACCGTATTTTGGGTTCCGTATAATAAGGATCCTACTTTTTGGGGCACTATATTAGGGTCCCCTATTTCCGTAAACCCCGCAAGTACGATTTCGGGATGTCAGGGGCTATCTACCTCTTCAAAGACATTTCTGTAAAGGTAAAGCCTGACACCCTAAGCCCCTTGCTGGACCTTAAAGAATTTGGGAGTTTACGAATTGGGGTACCTTATTTTTGGGTCCTTATAATAAGGATCCTACTATTTAGGGTACTATATTGGGTTCCCCTATTTTCGGAAACTCCCATTTCTGTGAGGAAGTCATCCGAGGCTGCCGTAAACTGGATTTTTTTACAGGATCCGGCAAAGCCTTGGACCCCAGAGTCGACAACCCTCAACCCTTGCACCCTACACCCGTAAGCCCTATGACCCTTAACCGCCTTAACCCTAAACCCCTAAACCCTGAACCCCTAAACCCTTAAGCCTCAAAGCAAGCCACTAAACCCCTAAAACTCAACAGACTCCGAACCATATGCCTCGCCTGGATTGTCCGAGTGTGAGCGCCGAAATCCCTAAACCCTAAACCCCTAAATTCTTAACCCTCAAACCCTAAACCCTAAACCCCTAACCCCTAAACCCTAAACCCCTAAAACCCTAAACCCCTAAACCCCCCCCAGGCTTTGCCACCCTCCACCCCTCCTGGCCCGCACGTTCCGGCGCCTTCACCAGGCCAAGGCTGGCGGTTCGTTGGGTGTTTAAGGGTTTAGGGTTGAGGGTTTAGGGTTTAGGGTTGAGGGTTTAGGGTTGAGGGTTTAGGGTTTAGGGGTTGAGGGTTTAGGGTTGAGGGTTTCGGGCTTGGGGTTGAGGGTTTAGGGTTCTAAGAGGGTTTTGGGGGTTCCTTTAAAGGGATCTTAGGGTTTAGGGGCTAGGTAGGGCTTTGGGACATTTGATATTTGCTCTTGTTGGGCTTAAGAGGATCTTACATACTAATATTCTTTCGAGGCTTTAAAGGCACCTCCTAGTGTTTAAGGGTGCAAAAACTGTGCGAGAAAGAGTTTTCAAAGAGTGTTGCTGGGGTTTCAGGGTTTAGAGTTTAGGGAGGGGCTTCGAGTGCCTGAGAGAGAGAGAGAGAGAGAGAGAGAGAGAGAGAGAGAGAGAGAGAGAGAGAGTTTAGGGAGAGTTTCATAGGGTGTTATTGAGGGTTTAGGGCGGCAAGGTTTTGTGAAGGTTCTACATGCCTCTCAAGGGTTTGGTTTGTTATCAGTGTTCTGTTCGGCAAAGGTTATGGGTATAGCCAGGCTGCTACAAAGGATTGTGTAAGGGTTTGTTTGGCTTCAGCTTGAACACTCATCAGCTTCGACTTGCAAGCATGTGCCCCATCAAACGTCGCGGAGTCAAACCTGAAATTTTAAAGGAGGGCTTGATTGGGCTTGGAGAATATGGGAGTTTCCGAACTCAGGGGAACCTTATTTTGGGGCCATATAGTATTCTGTTCATCTTGAGGGAGGGTCTCATCACTTGGTTTTATCACGAGGTACTGGTTTGGAAACGATGGGGGCATCGAATGTCAAGGCATATAGGGTTCTTGGTTTCATGCTTTCACACTCGTGTGTAAAGAAGTTTGCTTGGCTTGGCCTCGGGGAGTTCAAGCCTACTGACGGACTGCAAGTATGCTCCACGATCCCTGGGGCCCTGTTGCAGACACCAGCTCCTGCATCAAAAGGGTTTCGGGTGGAGGATTTCACACAGCATGTAATGTCTTGCAACCGGTTGCTATACACTCTTACCCCGAAACCCCCAAAGCCCAAACCCGAGAACAGTAAGATATCCTTACCCCCTTTCCGAGTTTCTACACATGAAAGAATTTTTAAGTTCAAATCTGATCACATCTCCTTATTGGATGACACTGCTTTCGCTGCATCCGTAAGCGTGCCAAAGCTGCGCTGACCTCAAGTGTACTTGGGTTTAGCCGCTTAGCCATGGGGTTCAGTGCCATCCTTGACGCAACCTACAAGCTCCAATTTTTTTAGCTATAAGCCGAACAGCTCAGCTGCAATCTGTAATTTAGATCTGAAAGCACAGACTCAAGGGAATTTTCAGGGGTCCGGGTATGCACGGGTTCTACCTGGGGAGGAGGTTATGGATGTGACCTGGGAACTCGGGAGTGGCTTGGGAGTAGTTTGGGAGAAGGAGCTCGTGGGCACCTGGCGAGCACTTCGGGAGTGGCTCGGAAGTCAGAACCGTGTCTAACTTCGGGAGTGGCTCCGGAGAACATACGGTTGATGATATAAATCCTGCATTACCCATAATAAGGAATATATGGTAATTATGGTATATTCCTTATTATGGGTCATGCAGGATTTATATCATCAACCGTAGGTCAAACCACCGAGGGTCTCCCGAGTCACTCCCGAGGCACTCTCGAGGCACTCCCGAAGCACTTCCGAGGCACTCCCGAGGCACTTTCGAGGCATTCCCGACGCAGTCCCGAACCCTTGACCCAACTGCTCCTTAGGAATAATTGATGCTTGACCAACCTGCTCCCAAGATATCAGGACGTTTTGACCCTCAAACTCCCGAAGCGGAACCCGTGCCGACGCCGACCCCTGAAAATTGCTTGGACAGACTCAGTCGACACAGATGCTGAAGGGGGCAGGGACCCTAAACCCTTAAACTTAAACCCGAAGCCTTAACCGTAATGCTAAGATCTGCAGGACCAGAGACGGAAGTGCCGCAATATGCGACAGCGGAGGCCGTGTGCTGTGAGCTACGGGAAGAGGGGCACAAAGGAAGACGAAAGCAGAACGAGCAGGATGGACCCTGCACCCTAAACCCTAAACCATCATAAAGTTCAGATGATAGAACTGCCGCATCTTCTCGGCTATACTCCTCCGCGGTCATGCATGATAGCCTGCGTGGAGGCCTTCTGACTCGACCCATGCAGCCTTCAGGGTTTTGGGTTTCGGGTTTAGGGTACGGAAAGATGAGTTGTTTTCAAGTTTGCTGGTATCTCATGAAGACCTTGAGAGCCCAGCTTGCAGGCATGCAACCAAAGCCCACGCTGAAAAAGGGGTCGGAAAGCGGGTATCCGGGCGCAGAAGCATGGGAGCGAGACTGCGAAGAAGAGACAGAGAGCGACTGAGAGGGGAGGGAGGGAGGGAGGGCTTCCAAAGCAGAGCTTGGTTTGGGTTGGCTCCAGTAAGGTAGAAACTAAAAGAAATAAGATCCGAATTCTAGACTGGAGTGCAGGAGCATCTTTACTTTTGACTCGGATGCCCCAGTAGTACCCTTATTCCCTTTTTGTAGTCCTACGTTCCTTATAGAGGTACCCAATACCAAAAAGGGAGCCCTTCTTATTCCTAGGTTACTGGGCATCCTAGTTGAGGAAGTCAACTCCCGGGTTGGCTTTGGGATATGTTTTTCATTTCCCTTATTTCCTTATATAAAGGGAACCTATTCATAAATCAAAACAGAGGGCTTAAAGCACAACCCAGACTCTACACCTTAGTAGCTGAGTGGATACACTTTACACTTTTTGGTATAATATGACCCACTATGAAACTTAAAGTGTACACTTTTGGGGGCTTATGAACTCGGCAACTAAGACCCCAAAGTAGTTCCTTTTTGGGATTACCTAATAAGATTCTATATACGAACTCCAAAAAGGAACTACTGTGGGGCCTTTGGGTAAAGCACAACCCAGACTCTCCACTCAGGAGTCCTCCGAGCCAAGGAGTCCTAGGAGCCATAAGTTTGCCTTCTCGTCCTCTCAAGCCCATGGCCTCCCCACATGTCACAACTATCATAGGGGCCTTAATAATTGGCTACCTTTTTTTGGGGGGGACCACATTACAACTATAGTACAATATACACATTAGAACCCGGTTCTGTTATTTAACTCCCCTATATAATGTCGATTTGGATGTTGGCCTTAGCTTTAGATTCCAAACCTCACCTAGGTCTGCCGGTGGGCCTTGTTCCACTTTTTGGTTTCTTATAAAACAATACAGTATCAAAAGGGAGCCCTTTGTATTCCTACTCAAGCCCCGAACACTCGGCTATAGCTTTTTGCCCGGAACGAAGGTCAGCCATATCATGATTCCAAGCAGACCAAAACCCGTGATAGCTCAGATGGTTGGGCAGACAGAAACAGGATATAAGAAGAAGACCTGCCCTCAGCACGAAACCCAGAAGCTGTAGTGGCGAGGCTGGCACGGATCCTTCGCAATGAGGGCTCGGCCTGCAACCAAAGAGTTTCACTGCGCACCGAGCTCTGGCCCTGCAAGCTTGCTCCTGTTTGTGCAAGAAGTTCCCCTTTGTAGCTCTCAGACCTCGAGATGCACACTTCCAAGCCCTAATTTGGATAAAGCCTTCGAATGTGCCAGAATGGACGGGAGCAATCTGTTTCCTGCAGGGGGCTGACGGCATGCACCGGTTCATCGTCCCCCGAGCTCTCCGTCATCCATCCCACATTGAAGCCCAAGACTTGAGTTTAGAAGCCGTGGTGTGCCTGTATCCTTCTACGTCCCTGGACGATATGTAGATCCTTTTCATCCCAGATACCCCACAGACCTGGCGTCCTTTGTGGGCGCGGAGGGCCTGCAAGCCAATGTACAGGCAGCGGACATCCAAGGGCAGCCCGGAGAGGGCCACTATGCAACATATCAGGGTTTCTGGACACCAGGTCCTTTTCTGCTGACTCCTACCGCTAGGCTTCGCTGGGTTCTAGGGTAATCGAGGTTTCCTTTCGACGTCCGAATGATTCCCACAGCGGACCTGACCTTAAGTGGACAACAGGAGGCAGATATGACGACCACGACCACGAAAGGGACGAGTAAGAGGAGAAGGACGACTACGACCACGTTGCAGTGGCCTTTCGGCTTACCTGTCTGGAAGGACTCACTAGTGAGTGGCAAAAAAAGCCAAACTACTAAACCCTACTTGTTTGTAGGTTCCTACTATAAACCCTAGTATGGGATGTAAAGGGGCCCTACAAAAAAGTAGGTTCTGGTAGGTCAAGATAAGTAATATTGAACCCTAAACACTTAGATCCTTATATCCAATATCAATATTTATCATATAGTTTGTTTATAATATACTCTATTTAGCATAGACTATATTTATAATAAGTAGTCTTGAGCTGCTCTCCGGCTCCGGGGCCCTGGAAGAGTGCCATTGCCATCGCGCGCGCGTGCCACGTCTTAAATGCTGCAGCGGTTCTGCTTGCAAAAAACCTTAACGGCTTAAGGCTTGCGATGGGCTTCGGGTTCTAAAGTTTAAATTTGGGTTTGAGGATCTTGCATATGGTTTTGAGGTGTAGGGTTTAGGCCTGATTTTGAACTTAGGATTTCGCATCGCTTTGCCGGCCGTGGTTGTCATGTGACGGTATCTAGCGATAGGTATGTTCCGTCTGTTGCTTGGGGGTTCTTCTTGGAGCTTGGGCATGTGTAAACTCCGTATGGTCATTATGTAACGCCGCCCCGACTCGAGGTAAAGGCTTGCGACCAGCTTACGACCTTCTGTGGGTAATGTAGGAACCTGATTAAGAAACCTTGGGCCTTTACCGGGGTTCCTTATATGAATCCTACTACTTTGGGGCTATAGGCCCAGGGTTTCTTAATTAGCTTCCTACATTAGATGCTTCACCTGGACCTTGGGCTCGGCCTTTCAAGCAAGAGGGTTTCGGCATGTGGGTGGTTGTCAAAATTAGGATCCCGTTTTGGGTCCTCAATATAGTACGGCACCTAGTATTTAGGCCCTAATTTTGACAACCACCCATTTGGGGGCCTCAAGGGCACATCTCAGTCTGCAAGATCGGACTCTGAGATCTGAACATCTGAAACCTTACGCAGTTACCCCCTGCAACTTTGCAGAATCTAGCAGAGGCGTTTAGCCTTGTATGTGCCAAGGTAACCCTACACCCTTAAAACCTCTAAACCCTAAACCCTAGTACAGTAAAAGCCGGAAAGTTGGAATATGATTATCCTAAACCCTTTATGGTAAATTATAAGGTATCCTACCCTGAAACCATATTCCAACTTTCTGCAGTTCCCTTTAAAATCCTTTTAAAGGAACCCTCCTTCCGAACCTTTGCGAACTAGTACCCTTAAAGGAACCCTTATAGTACCCCATAAAAGAACCCTTATAGTAACCCGTAAAGGAACCCTTATAGTTGTTTGGCTTGAATATGGGTTGTTTATGGTTTTACTCCTGTCCTCTACCGATCGCTTCCGTATCGTCACTTCGTTGTATAATTTAAGTGTTCACGTCATTTGTATTTGTGAGTCTCCAAGTGCTGAAATCTTGCACCGTCCCTACAGATATTTGTCGAAGTTACATAGGTAGCATGAGAGGGAACCGGGTATTGAACAAACCGTACATGCTCTATCTTATCTTGTCGCACGAAATGGCAGTGAGTTGGCAAAGTATTGGGAATGTGGTAATTAAGATGACGTGTTCCAACCTGGCATCGTATACCGTAGTTTCAGACATGTTCTGTTAGAGCAAATTGATCGGAAACCACACTGCTTTCGTTTATGATCCCGATCGTTTTCCGCATGAAAACACCCGCACTGCATGTCGACATCGACAGTTTCTTCGATTTCCGCTGCTGATGTTCCTCGAAGGAGTTCTACCATAGGGTCCTATATAATTACCAATACATATCTTGAAGGTTCCCTATTATAGTTATAGTAGAATGGGCCCCAAAACCCTATTCTGATTATCAAGGCCCCTATATTAGATCACGAAACCCAAATCCGACACGATTCAGCAGTCGAAAGGAGCCGATATCTTCAAATCCGCCTCCCCCCCCCAAGCTCTGTTCGATTCCAGCCACCTAGCCTGACAGCATACCTTCTGGCACAACCTTAAAGTTTCTGCAGCCCCCAAACTGCAACCGAAGCGATGCGCAAAATCTCGTGGCGTCGAACTTCCGTTGCACAGCTTCGCGCACGAGCCAAGTGACAAGCTGTGGTTACCAAGTTTTAGAGTCAAGACTCCCATGTGGACCGGCTTGGCATTACTTGCCGCCCCATGGTCCAATGGTGGTGTGCGCCTGAGTTTCTGAACATTCCTGCTTCGTCGTACGACATGGCCCTAAATTGGATTCCCGGCACCCTAAACCCAAAACCCTAAACCCTAAACCCTTGGATTGGACTGCGGGAGAGCTGAGATACATCATCCGAGAGTATAAGAAAGCCTGGCATTGGTATTACAATCGTGTCTTTGATCTTTGGGTTTATCTGGACTCTCTGGATGCTGTTGTCTCAGACTTCCCGCGAGCAGCTCACCCCTTACCCCTTACAACCTATTGTTCTCGTGAAGATGCTAGGTTTCTTGAGGACTCTGTAATGGACGCCTGGGGTCGTCTAGACTGCACAGCTGAAGCAATCGTCTGGCATCAACTGCGTATACACCTCCCCTGTTGGGGCCTTATTCTAAACCCAGCCCCCATTGAAGGCCTGTACGGATGAGGACGGTTCTTTCCAAGTTGGCTTTTTCGGAAGGTTGCTCTTCCCTGGGTTTGTTTTGGGACTGCCGTGCTTTCGCACATAGGTCTCTGGCGCCTTGGCTGCATGGTACTGCGAATTCGTGCCTTTGTAGCACTGTGCTGGACTGCTTTTTGCTTCTGCCGGACTGTTATTCCTTGCTGCCCGCACTGATGCATGCCCTTGCTGTCCTTGCCTTTTGCCTCCTGGTGATGATGCCCGATGATGTCTGTGCCCATGGTCACGTTCGTCGGTCGGTCCTACACCCCTTTGTCCCTTTAACTATACACCTCTCACAACCGACACCCTCAGCCCTACTCCCGTACTTCCCTTTACGTTAGGCCCCTTATGGCAAACCACGAACCCGCGCCTCTGCGGTCCGCCATGGATCTCGTCCTGGTGAAACTGTCACGCGGCTTGTAGATGCTCTCTGCGTCAACGCGGCTTCTGGCTCGGCGTCTGACTCGGCTGCCCCTGGAAACTGCATCCCGTCAATGCGCACTCTGAGACTCGACAGATACGGCAGGAGTGTCATTTTCTGTAGATGCCGGACTCCACGAATACTTCATGGAAGTGATCCTCTACCGGATCCGCCTTTCCTGCATGGGCTGTGATGTTCTCTCTGGGTTAGCTCAAAGCAAGCTGTCTGTACATGGTCCGCAACCACGTGGTGGCTGGGACTTTCAAGGAAGCTTTCTTACGCCGGGGTCGAGCTCCCGACACGTGCCGGGGGACGGGGCCTTCCTGCTTCCCTCGTGTCTGGTACTGTTTGGTACTGGACCTCGCTGAACCGAGCTTTCTTCCTGCTACAGCGCAGTATGCTACTTCCCTGTGTTACTTCCCATGCCTATGTCGGAGAGGGTCGTCTGGCTCGAGAATGTACACACTTCTAAAGTGAACGCTGCCAGATGTGGGAAGTCGTGAGTGGAGTCAGTTCCTCGTTCGCACCAGCCCGACAGAACTGGGCAGTCACGACTGGCACACGTTCGTCCTCAAGTGAACGCTGCAGTGAGTTCCGTGGGTAGCGTCGTGTATAGTTCTTTTTGCATGCCTGTCCAGACACACATGTAATTCCGGAAATCGCCTACTTTCTGCATTCTAGCTGGTTTCACGCCCCAATTGTATAGGTTTCATCTGTATACTATACTCTCCTTGCCATTTCAACCTTTACTGTACTCTAGTTTGGAGGCTCCCAGGCATTCCGTCTTCTGTGGCACTACCTTGGTTTTGACTGTCTTCTGCTTCGGGGATGCCTGGAGTACCTCCCTCCTCTAATATGGGGAGTCTTCTCTCAGCCCGCCCGAGAGCCGGTCCTACGTGGCCTTACCTTCTGTTGAGCTGTTGTTCTTTCGGCTATCGGGTGAGCCTCTTAGTCTTTCCTTCCGCCGACTTAGCACCAAGAACCTCGTCTGGCTTGTCCGAGTTGAGAGCGTAAACCCTTGGATTCCCGGCACCCTAAACTGTCGAATCTAAGCCTCGAGTAGATTAGTCGGCGTCGTCCTGAGCCCCCAAAACCCTAAACCCCTCATGGTACTAAACCCTAAACCCCTAAACCCCTAAACACCCTACACCCCTAAACCCCTGAACCCTTGTAGAATCTTTTTTGTTGCCTCTACAAGGTCAATGCAGAAGTCGCTAGACTGAGAGCAGCTCATCGCTTCTGTTCATGTCCGAATTGCTCCTAGATGTTGGCGCAGGGATATTGGGTAGGGTTATCGGCTTCGAGGTTCAGGATTTAGGGTCTATGAGTTATGAGCTCTTGTGACATATGTCGCTGTAGGTTTTAGTGTTGTAGTAATATAGGGGTCAATAATTACCTATACTCTTTTGGGGGTTCCTTATTACAATTATGATAAGCCCCAAAGCCCTATTCTAATGATTAAGGCCTCTATATTAGTGATTTTGGGGTCGGGTCTTGGGTCCGCTAGAAGCAGCTTTTTGGTGCCAGGGCCGCGACTCGAAACACCAATTTCTTAGGATCCCCAAAAGCGCATAAGCATAAGCATTTTACAGGGATACCCCTACCTCATTTTCCCTATCCATGTTCTTGCTTATGTGCTGTTTTTAGGGCCCTAGTTTAGGGTGTAGGGATGCACGAGCCATCGATGCGGCGGACAACTTGGATGAAGTTTAGAGAGACCTCATTCAAATGGTTCAGAGCGGACAACCGACGAGACTTGAGGCATCCTTTGCTGAGTTCCTGTTCTCAGGCTGCCAACATCAAGGTCTTCTTTCGTGTCCGCAGGAGCCCTAGGTGCAAATGGTGGAGTTTCATGCTAAAGGTTTCGATTGATTCGGTTGTGTGCTGCTGAAGTTATGACCGCAACCGGAACGATGACGATCAATGACAGTTGTTTGCGGCTTTTGGCTTCTGAAATTTTGCCGTGCTCACGCAATGCATGCAGTGCCTTAGAGTCATAAGTTGAGTGTAATGAAGCGCTTTTAGGTTTTCCCGTTGTAGCAGCGGCTGCAGCGTAGACCTTGCACTGAGCCGATAGGTTTTCGGAACCAACCGTTCAGCTTCGCCTGAACCAGTACTCACCAGACGCAGGGCTTTTGTTGGAATCCAGCCTAGGGAGATACAGGTCCTGAACAGCTTCACAGACCTCAAGCCGCAGTCTAAAAGCAGCGAAGCCTGCGAACCACCTTCTACACCAACTTGGTTCGCCCCCCTGAAGAGAAGCCCGGCAAACCCTAGAGTCCTCAGAGGCCTTGAAAGTGAGTGTGCGAATTTCGACCAGAGCTTTAGGGTTTAGGGGTATATAGGGGTGTAGGGTTTAGGGTTGAGCCTGCTCCCTACTCGACGAGAAACTCATTTGGCGAAGTGCGTAGTTCGGTGCTTTACTTATCAGGGTATAAGACATCCTTTTTTGGTTCTAGCGTTTCATGATGTTCCGGGTTTGGCACATTTCTTCCATCACCGAATAGCCGAAGTGGATTTCTTTCTATCAGGAAGTCCCCTATGTCATGTCCATCTTTACTCCCCGAGAGCTGGGTTACAGTCTTAAGTCCTTGGTTTTAAGCTCTCGGCAAGCACGCCCAGCAAAAGCTCAGCCAAAGAACGGTAGCAGAATCATATAGAAGCTTAAATCATTGCCAATACTGTTCCTTGGGACTCCCTATTAAAATTATAGTTATACCTTTGAGGGGCCCCAAGCCCTATTCTAAGTATTCAGGCGCCTATAATGTAGTACCATCATAGAGCCCCTTAGAGGAACCCTTGTGGTACCCTTTAAAGGAACCATATTCTAACTATTAAGGCCCCGACGTTGCCTCCCGAGCCCATAGCCAAGCGGCCCTTATGATAACCCTAAACCCTATAGATCCCTTAAAGGAGCCCTTAAGGATCCCTTTAAAAGCTCTAGACCCTAAACCCTAAACCCCTTGATGTTTGTGACCCGGGAGCAGGCATCAAAAAGGAGCTCAAAAAAACCTAAACCCCTAAAATCCCCAAAACCGCTTAAAGCCTCCAAGGCCTCTCAACCCCTCTAAACCCTAAACCCTAAACGCCCAGGGGATGATTTTACGCTCCTTCTAGGTTTGTCTCACTCAGCAGACTCTGAACCATGTGCCTCGCCTGGATTGTCCGAGCGTGAGCGCTGAAACACCCTAGACCCCCAATAGCCCTGAGTCCTACTCTAAACCCTAAACGCCCCTAAAACCACTAAACCCCCTTAAAGCCCCTAAAGCCCCCAAACCCCTAAGAGCCTTTCTATAGATCCCCTTTTAAAGCCCTGAGTCCCACTGTGAAACAGCGGCCACTTAAGGACCCAGCGCGCGGCCCTCGAAGGCCGATCCGAAACGCGGCTGGTTAGGGCTTTAGGGTTAGGGTATAGGGATTTAGGGTTTAGGGCTTTAGGGTTGTAATAGGGCTTTAGGGTTGGGGTGCACAAGTCCTGATGCAAAAAAAGGTTATATAGGGTATAGGGATTTAGGGTTTAGAGAGAGAGGGTTTAGAGAGATTAGGGTTTGGGGCTTAGAGTTTAGGGTTTAGAGAGATTCGGGTTTGGGGTTTAGGCAACTTGGAGGCACTTCAGAGAGACCTCTTTCAAAAAGAGTAATGATCCGAAACAATGCACTTCTTAGTAGCTGGGGTATACATACTACTACCATGATTGAAAAGATTGGTAACCTGTAACCTTTTGGAGTTTTATGTAAAACGACCATAACCAAAATTGGGAAGGGCAGGTAAACTTTAACCTTTTGGGGTTTATGTAATACTACCATGATTGAAAAGGTTAACCCCTTTTTTGGGGGCTAGGGTATTCAGCCCCTAGGACTTGTTGCATCTGAAGCGGTAATGACCACGCAGGTAAGGATAACGACGATCGGGAAGATAATGATGATGCCAATGATCCGGGTGTTGGCTGTGCGATGGTTATCAAAATCTATGTGGGTGGTTGTCAAATTTATGGTCCCTTTTTGGGTACCCTAAATATTAGGTGCCGTACTATATTATGTTGACAACCCATGTGGTTCTAGTTTCCGATGTTTTTTGTTATGCTCCGGATGAGGGAGATGGAACTTCTTGGCTATCATGCTCACCACTCGGATTATTTGCCATAGTGGCTACAGTGGTTTTCCCCCCCTGCACCACAGCCACGATGATTGAAAGACGCACACATGTGTGTATACATGTATATATATATACACACACACACTCTCTCTCTCTCTCTGTTGTTTGTTGCCTCGGGCTGCTAGGTGGTTTTGTGTCTTTTGGTGGTAGGTATGCCGTGTGCCTAAGCCTAACTGGAGTCGTAGTGTTAGTCCCAGAATTCATGCTTTTTGAAGTTAGAGTCACTCATGCTTGTCTGTCTGCACTCCTGTGGCCGAGCAAGGTAGAGGCACTGCGCCTCATGCATGCATGCAGACATGCATGCACATTCTTTCACATGTAACGCAGTTTGAGAGAAGCCAGTCCGTCAACGAAGACTCTACGGTTCAACAGGACTAACCCGTAACATATCCAGTCCAAAAATCCCGGTCACTTCGTGCCTTTGCTGTCCGCTTAAAGCTTAAAGCCCACAGAAGTCGACAACCTGCCTATTCTCTCTGACCGCGTTGTCGGTGAGGCAGTGAGTTTGAAGCAAGACGATGGGCCTGGGCCTTTGGGATTGGGGTTGATGGTTTTAGCTGTAAGTTTAGCTCCAGGAATTCAATGGTCGAGGCTGTAACTTCGGATCAACTTTCCCGGGCTGTCGACACCCTCATGTACATTAATCAATTAGGGGCAGGGTTTTCGGGCTTGGTGACCTGTGAGCAGGGCATGTGAGGAACTTCTATGGCCCGTTTGCAAGCGTTCGATGTGGCTACGTTGCTTTTGCACGGGACGGGGTTGGACGTTGTGTCGAGTTTTAGGGTTTCGGAGTTGGGTGTTGTGCCCACGACAGGCAGACCCGCGCAGCAAAGGTATGTGATTCAGTATCCATTCTAGCCAGCCACCTGATTCTGCAGACCTTCCAAGCTGGCTTACCTTGCAGCAACAGACAGATGAGGCTTATCGAGTTTGTGCAGGAGAAGAACGCACAGGCCCAACCTTGGTGTAATATCGAAACTCCGAGGGTATTGGTGGAAAAGACACTGATGATATATAAATCTATAATAATAACAATATTTATAATAATAATAGTAATATCAATTTTAATAATAATAACAATAATAGTAATAGTAATAATGTATAATAATAATAATAGTAGTAATAATAATAATAAATAATAGTATAACATAATACTACTACTAATAATAATACTGATAATTAATAATAATAATAGTAGTAATATGGACCCCAGCTCCGAAACCTTAGCCCTAAACCAAGACCCCTGATTGATAAACCCCACCTCTTTCTTAAGGCCGCAAACAATCGCTGGTAGAACCCTTGCTCAGGGAGACGGTGGTTTGATTCATCACGGGTCTACCCCTAAACCCTAAACCCCTAAATCCTAAAACCTAGAACCTAAACCCTAAACCATTGAACGCCTAGACTTTAAACCCGAAGACACTGACCTTGAGCCCTGAAGCCCAGAACTGAAGCTTCAAACCCCGAGCACAGGTTTGACAATTGTAGGGTCTCACTGTTCCCCAAACCCTGAATCTTACTGCCACGGTACGTCTGTAGTAGATGCAAGACTCAAAGCAAAGCCGAGCTGCGCTTGAGGGTTTCGGGGCACTAAAGGGTTGAAACCATGTCACCTAGAGCCTCCCGGAGTGCACGAAGTTGTTGCTCCAGGAAGTCTTCGTAGCTGAGTAGGTAAACCTTTAACCTATTGGGCTTCATTTGATCCTACCGTGGTTGAAAAGGTTAGCTTTTTTGGGCCAGGGTACTTAGCCCCTTCGGTGGGGTGTAAGGCGTAGAGTTTTTCCAGTTGCGGCCACCTAGTGTAGGACTTTCTGCCCTGTTGTAGGTAAAGCTAACTGAAGACTGGCAATTCTTTAGGTTATAGATGTTATAGACCCACCCTTAACCCTGCCACCTCACACCACTCCCAAAACGCGAACCTCAGCCAGAAGGCGAAAAGCATTAGCTTCATTCCTCGAGCGGATTTGGGTTTCGCCCCTTTTCAGATCCCAAATGGAAGTTTCCGAAAATAGGGGGTACCTTACTTTGGGCTCCTTATAGTAAGGATCCTACTATTTAGGCTCAGGGGTTACAGACGCCAAGCATCCAGGGTTTACTCGGAGGCTCGTTTGGTTGTCGACTGCGTGAGTCGGTTAATATAGGGGCCTTAATAATAAGTGCCTATAGTATTTTAGGGGTTCCTTGTTATAATTATAGTATAATGGGGCCCCAAACCCTATTCTAAGTCTAAGTATTAAGGCCCCTATATTCGTTCAACAGCGTCCAAGTAAGGAGTTGTGGTTTGAGGCTTGGGGTGCTCAGCCGGAACGCCTAACCAGACACCTCATCCCCCCTGCCACAGACTAGAGATCGCTAATCCGAAACTCAACAGACCTGCAACATGTTCTTGGCTTCGCCTGTTTCAGCGTGGCAGCATGCACAAATTGGTGGTTGTCAAAATTAGGGTCCCTGTTTGGGTCCTTAATCTAATGCGGCACCTAATATTTAGGGTACCCAAAAAAGGACCATAATTTTGACAACCACGCAAATGAGTCCGCCGATCCTATCAACCCTAACCCTTGAAGCCATGCCTCGCCTGGATTGTCCTTTGGTTAGTAGGGAATGGAGGAATGGGATAAAATTTCAACTACTATTACTACCATTCTTCCATTCCCTACTAACCAAAGGTAAGTGGATTGTCCGAGTGTGAGCGCCGAAACCCAGAAGTTGCCCGAACCCGAAGCACCAGCACCCCAAAACCATCCAAAACCTAAGCCTGCGAGTGTGAGTGCTGAAACCAGCCTAAACACTAAAGCGCTAAAACCCTAAGAATTTAAGACCCTAAAACCCTAAACCCTAAACTAACCAGGAGGGCACCGTCAATAACTCCAAGACGCACCACAAGTTTCGCTTCGATGGCATTCTACCCATGAAGATTTCTCAGGCCAGGGCGTAGGGTTTAGGGTTTGAGGCGTTCTGAGTGAAAGCTACTGCCATAGTTCTTTGTCAAAACGTCATTGGCATCGTTGCCGTTGCCTTTTGTTTAAGCAGTGGCTCTTTTTCTATTCACACCATGTGCTCTTCTTGCCATGCTGAGCGTCACGGGCATGCCCATCACGTTCTCAGGTGGGATGCTTGCTTCTATCGCAACTGCTAATTCTAACCTTTTACGTGGCTGACAAGGGTGATGTTCATTGCTATGTTGGTTCGCTGATGAACATTCTCATGGTGATTATGATAAGGATGGTGGCAAGGGCCGGCAGCGGCGGTAGGGGCGGTGGTGGTACCAGCAATGATGCTGATGATGATGCTGATGATGGTAGGCAGTCAATAGTGTAGTTCTAAGTTTAGTTCTAAATCCTTGATTCATCCCAAAGCCTAAGCCGTGTGCTTAAGTCTGGGTAGCTACGGTGCCGTGCTTACCCGGATCCTCGCCTGGCTGTGCCTAGTTGCGAATGCTGAGATCTCAACCCCAAAACCGCCTTGGCAGGAAGAGGTCTTCAGCCTGGTGGCAAAGCCGGTCATCGAAGATGCGACTCAGCATGACAATTGCATGCTACGGGTAAGCTTAGCCTCCAAAGAGCTGCTCATGTCGCGTTCGACACATGTCTCAGAGAAGCCTCAGGAGTGCGAGACAGAGGCATGTTCAGATCTGACAGGCTGCAGGACCAAAGCCGATAAGAAAGGTATTCTGACATGAGCTACATGCAGCAAAGGAACCATGCATCGGGTCCCCCCGCAAGCGTCCTGAAAAGCATGATCATCTGTCAGGCCCATGCAGCAGGGGGCATCGTCCGCATAGAAAGAAACAGAAAGACACTCTATGGATAGCACAAGGATTATTTGGAAGCTTCATGGACAGCCAGGCAGACACAAGCACTGATGCCCAGCTGAACATTACTGATAAGATGTCCCCATGTCGTTCCCTGAGGTTCTGCAAGGCATCAATGGTACCATTTTCGCCTATGGCTGTTGCCTCAGAGCTTGATATCCTGCCAGACGATGCATGCCCTGGCGGCTTGCTTGACGGAGCAGGGGGCGTGGCACGCAAGAATTCAATTCATTCTCGGCCTGAGGTATCAGGCTGCGATTTTCTTGTGGAAACCGGGACAAACGTGCTAAAGTCTATTCAACTATTCAACCTCGACAGAGCCTGATGAAGTCTAAGTGCCGTCAGGGCCCCACGAGTCCTTCGCAGCTCGTGCTTTAAACTTTACATCAGACTGTACAACTTTACAAACCAGACATTACAGAGCTTCTCGGGACGATCAAGCTTGATTGTTCCCCGAAGGTTCCTGACATGCAAAACCCTAAACCCTAAACCCCTAAACCCCTAAACCCCTAAACCCTGAATAACACTGGAGGCCAGACCGGCAGCGGCAAAACGTTCACCATCACTGGAGGTGCACTGAGGGCTTCTGAACGTTTAGGGTTTAGGGTTTAACTTGCTGCAGGAACCTGGACAACTTGAAGCTTGAACCCCTAACCCCTTGAACCCCGGCCCTGAACCCCAAACCCAATTCGTACCGTCATAGGCTTGCAGCCTGCGCTGCAGAGCCCAGAGCTGTTTTGCACAGCTTCCGGATGATGCTTTCCTGGTTTTTGGTTCAGGGCTTAGGGTTTAGGGGGGCCTGGCGGGTGTAGGGGCTTTGGGGCTTTGGAACCTTGCTGCCTCGGTCGGACAGTGCCCAAGGACCCTCGAAATTCTGATGTCCTGCGCCCGAACCAGTAGAGACCAAACCTTAAAACTATAGCAACGAGAGTACCCATCCACACCCTAAGCCCTAAACCCTGAACCCAAATCAGAAGGTTCCAAACCCAACAGCTCCAACAAGCTCAGGGAGCCCCTAGGCTGCGGTTCGCAACAACCAAGTTCACTCATGCCCGGCCCAACTTCCTGTTGCTCATAATTCGGTGACATCAGCAGCAAAATTTAATGCTCGTAAAGAAGGTCTTCCTGTATTAGGTGGTATAGACGACGAAATTTAAATCAGGAGCACAATCATAGCACGCGCAATGCACCAGAGATAGATACGTGCCGGCCTCCCGGACTGAAGTAATGCGACCGATGTCTCAAATGGTCGCGGCCGTATATCCCTAGGCCCTAAACCACCGTTTAGGGCCCCGTCCTTGCCAAGTCGGAGGGGAAAAACCCATCCCTACAGTAAACCCTAAACCCAAGATGACTTTCAAAGCGCTTGCTAGTTCAGGTGCGGAGAGGTACGAAGATCGCGGACTGATACCGCGTACGATCGCGTACCTCTTCGAGGCTGAGTACTGCGGGGTTTAGGTTTACTATATGTAAGGGTTTAGGGTTACGGGTACAGGGTTCGCGGGTTAGGGACGGTTAGGGTTACTATAAGGCTTTTTAATATAGCCGCCTTACAACATCGAGGAGTGTCTGGGGGGGGGGCTTGTATTGTACTAAACAGCTACCGTTGGACTGATGGGTTCCGGGGATCAGGATCCGGTGTAGGGCTTCAAGTCTTCTATTTTTCAGGGTGTAGCTTTCTTATTTAAAACACTTCAAGCGGGGTGCCCCCTCTCCGAAGCCGCAAAGCTTTGGCTAGTTCAAGTTCTGCGACAAACACAGTCAGGAAGGGAATCTTTGGTTGGAGTATCATAGCAATCTGAATATGTAGGCATGTTGTTTTGAAGGTTTCCCTATAACAGGCTTATAGTATCAAGGCCCCCAAAGATTCTGTTGCATTACATGAGGTGTCTTCGGGCAAAGGCTTAGGATGTAGGGCTCTGCTTATTGCTTACTTTTGTTCCCGGTGCGAGCCTTAGTACTTTGAGTTTTCATGGCTGTTGTAGGGCCGTAGTCCGGCTTCCCGGGGCTATACGGGATGTTGGCTTCAGGCCTCTAAACCCTAAACCCTAAACCCTAAACGGGGGATGGGGTGGTGCTTCAGGGCCGAGGGCTTGGAGATGTACTTGTAAACAAATTTTGGAAGAACTACGACCGACGATTTCATGAGTAAGATTCTGACCTCTTTACGGTTACGCTTATACACCTAAACATCCTTACATACCTTAGCATGTTTCGGGTTGGGGCTTCGGGTACTAATGTAGACAGCGCTACAATCCCTGCGCCATAGATCTTAAGGTTTTCTGGACCTGCAACGTTGTCATGCTCTCAGGCAGTCAAGCCTGATGTCAACTGGCCCTCAACACGGGAGCCCTAAACGCCAAGTGCCCGAAAGCCTTCTGAAGTTGTAACCTACATCTAATCGAGTGGCTAAGTCGGGGCAAGGAGTTCAAGAATCGCCGCGATGCGACCTACCGCAGGGCGCACAGCTCCGGCCTGCCCTTGTTATAAGCCCTTAACATCCCTTAACCCTCTTGCAGTGGGGCTTATATTCCGAGGCTGTTGGGTTCCAGGCTTTTGGCTTTGATGCTGTTTCAGGGTCCTACAAAGGGCGAAAAAGGGGTATGCTTTTTGTAGGGTTCCTAAGTAGTAGCACTCATGCTACACCCCAAGAGACGTGTTCCAAGCAGGCCCGGCTCCTGCAATCTGAGCTTGCGCTCCTCCCAGTTGCTCTGGCACTAAACCCGGAACCCTTAAACCCTAATAAGCTCAGCGGACTTAGTGCCTGAAGCCATGCCTGCCTTGTGCGAGTGTGTGAGTCGAAACCCCAATACCCTAACCCCGAAAGCCAGCAGCCCAATCCTCCACACTGCAAGTCATTCCCCTGATCGGAAGGGAATGCCAGGTAGCCCGCTTTAAAGCGACCATGCCGAAGATATCCGATATGGGCACTTTTGAGTGCAGGGTCGATATGATACGTTCTTAAGGTCAGAGGTGCCCATACAATAAAGACCCCGTTACTATAGCATCTACACTGTTAATGTTATCCTCCGTTTTCTGAAACCCCTGCTGTGGCTCTCTGCGGATTGAAGAGTGCCAGTTTTTAGCTGTTCCTGCGAGCCTGAGGGGCTCCCCTAGCAATTTCAGGTTTTGCGGTTTGATTTTCCCCCAAAACAATCCAGTTGACACTACGTATGGGGTTCTGACATTGGCTGAAGAGAAATATTCCGTGTAGCTGCGACCCAAGTCACACCCGGAACGAGGTTCGCTCTAAAGCATCCATGGAGCATTGCGTGCCTTACGTTTTTTCAGCTTCCAACAGTTCCCCGCAGCGCAAAGCCAGGGCTGAATTCGCTGCACTCCACCAAGGGAATGTTCATAAGTACCCTAAGTTGAGTTACCCTAATTATGACCCTACTTAAAACGGACTTGCTATGTCCCCTGCTTAAGACGGACTTACTATGATTCCCCCCGGCCTCCAAGTAAGGCATGTTCATCTCCTATCTGGAGATTTACAACAACGATGGTGGCTGCCTGAAATCGACGCAAGCGATGCTGTCGCGGAAATGTTCCTCCTGCCATCCTCTGAAGGTTTGAGCCGGTAATATAGGGGCCTGAATAATTAGAATAGGGTTTTGGGACGCATTTTGCCGCAACTATAATAAGGAACCCCGCCCCCCAAAAGCCCAAGACTTTGGGGCGCATTTTGCTATAACTATAATAAAGATCCAAAAAAAAACAAAAAAAACAAGCCCCAAGTACCATTGGTATAATTATGAAGGCCCCTATGGTCGTTTGTACGGCGTTGCGCCTGGGGGCTAGGGGTGTGGAATGGACCAACTACTTTGGGAAGGGGAGCGGTGGAACGTCTTTGGTTGCCTTGCTAGTACCAGCACGTGCTGCAGCGCAGGTTTGTCTAGGTACATTGGTGCATAGTCAGTAGAAGGATGAGGAGTTAGCAGCGGCTGCTGCTGCTGTTCCGACGACGACCGCTACCACCACCACCACCACCACCACCACCACCACCACCACCACCACCACCACCACCACCACCACCACGACCACGACCACGACCACGACCACGACCACGACTACGTCGACGACGACGACCACCGCCACAACTATTGCTGCAACGACGACTACTGCTATCACTACCAATACGACGACGACTACAGCTACTAACTCTCACCACCAACTACTAGCTACTAACCCTAACACTAGCCACTAATCAGTGCCTCCTCTGTGCTAGCTGTTTATCACTGACCACCATCTACTCAGCACTGCGATGATGCACACTTTTTCTGTTTTGCTTCTTGGCTTACTCATGGGAGTTTCCGAAAAGTAGGGGTAGCTAATTTTGGAGTCCGTTAAAGAAGGATCCTACTATTTGGGGTACCATATCAGGCTTCCCAAGTTTCGGAAACTCCCAAACCCTAAACCCTAAACCCTTACTTGCACCCCTATAGATCCCTTCAAGAGCCCTTATGGTTCTTTAAAGGAACCCTAGTATTTGGGGTTCCCTAATTTCCCCAAAGGGTCCTATGTATTGGTATGGGGGATACTTCCCTAAGTCATAATAGTAATTCCTAATATAGAAACCCTACATTCTACTGTATCGGTACATAGGACCCTTTGGGTTCGGAAACTCCCTCATAGACCTCAGGCTACGACCTCTTGAGCCGGGAAGAGCACACTGCCAAGCTCGAGGACTGAAGTGATAAGAGGATTGAGGGTTCCTTTAGGGTTTAGGGTTTAGGATTTAGGGTTCCTTTAGGGTTTAGGGTTTAGGCTCCAGAGACTCCAATATCCCTTAATTAGGGGATATACCTTAAATCATATTAAAGATCCTACTATAATTTAAAGGAACTCTAGAAAGTTGGAATATGGTTTCAGGGTAGGATACCCTAAGGCCCTATAACTTACCATAAAGGGGTTAGGATAATGATATTCCAACTTTCTGGCTTTTACTCTAGAGGGTACTATAAAGGTTCCTTTATGGGATCTATCGTAGGGTTAGGGTTCCTTGAAAGGGTACTATAAGGGTTCCTTGAAGGGATCTATGGTAGGGTTCCTTTAAAGGGTACTATAAGGGTTCCTTGAAAGGGTACTATAGGGGTTCCTTTTAAGGGATCTATCATAGGGTTCCTTTAGAGGGTGCTATAAGGGTTCCTTTTAAGGGATCTATCGTAGGGTTCCTTTAAAAGGTACTATAAGGGTTTCTTTTAAGGGATCTGTCGTAGGGTTCCTTGAAAGGGTACTGTAAAGGTTCCTTTAAGGGATCTATCGTAGGGTTCCTTGAAAGGGTACTATAAGGGCTCCTTCAAGGGATCTATAGGGTTTAGGCTTAAGAGCATCGCCGGGGATCTTCGTCTTCTCGCAACCCTGCGTGGTGCCAGTACATAGTACATACACATTGACTCCTGCACCTGTGCAATAGAGTTATAGGCACTTCGGATCTCAATGCGGAGGGTTTAGAGGATCAGGTGGGGCGGGCGCCCTCAGCGAATGTTTCGGCTGAGCCTTGTTCAAGGATCGAGTCTGTTTCGTTTGAGTTCTTGTCCTCGTCAGCATTGCAAAAGGCGGCTTCTTGTCAGATGTGCTCGACTGTGCATGGGTTCTGCCGCAGCTACTGCAGCACAAGGGCGAAGCCCTATCCGATGACCTATCATTGAACATGGACCCCATTGCAACTGGGGCAAATAGCTGTCATGATTACACGGTATATTTGCAGCCGGGATTGCAAAAACCCTCCCGCCGAAGGCTGTCCAAACTCCCTGAATCTAAGCATCGCAGACCACAGATCAAACTGACAAGCCCTCTCACATTCATCACGCTGCGCTGTGTTTTAAGTGAATTCAGCTATTGCACGTCGACTCCCTGACACGGGTCGCAGCATGGGTTGCGGCACATCCAAAAAGGCACCCGTCATCCACTATTGGGTGCAAGCCAGGGTATCACTACCATTGCTATCGGCATCAACATAGTTTTGCCGCGCAGGTGCTGCCTCATCTCGGAGAAGCAGATCTGCGTGGTCTAAGCCAGGAGTTGCTCTTGAGATGCATGGGCTTCATATTCATGCACCTACTACTGGGGCTAGGGATTTGGGAGTTTAGGGTGAAGAGGTCTTGGCAACTCAGTCCTTGTAAGATGGAGCTGTCCCCAGAATGAATTCGTGCACTTGCGAGGAGCAGAAAGATGCCGCAGCTTGGCCATCATTATTCATTATTCTTAAGCTTGTGTACTAGTCTGACTCCTTAGTAAGTAGGGTTCCGTTTCATTCAAGAAACCCTAAACCAAACGCTAACACCTAAACCTTCAGATCCTCGTGTAATCACTCAGCATGCTGAAGCCCCTTCCTGGGAGGGCTCAAGATCTTGGTTTCGAGGTTGAGGGTTTAGGGTTCAGGGTACAAGTCAGTTTCGGCACTTGGCATTCCATCGGTATCGCTATTGGCTACAGGTTTTTCAGATAAGGGCTTCGGGATCACCTGTCTCTTCATCGTGGTCCCTTGCGCGCAACAGCACGCTCATTTCTAGCGTGCAACTTTTTTGTTCCTTTCGCCAGCTAGTCCCTCTTTGAGTCGCATGACACTTCTGTAGCTAACCAGCATGGAGTTTCAAGATTCGTCCGGCGGATGCGGTGCCATTTTCCCTTTGATTTTGGTTGCTACTAGTTTGGTCACTGCATGCTTTTACTTGTTGGTGTTGTTTGTGTTGACATGTCTATTCTAATTGGTCATTATTGGCTGATGATTGCTTTGGTGGTTCTGCTTCAAACTGGCTGCTCTACTCTTGTTGTTATCACTGTCGTTATTGTTGTAAGCATTATTACTTGATTATTTTCTTGGTATTAGGGTCGCTGTTATTATGACTGCTGTTTTTAGTATCAGTGTTTTTTTGTGACTGTTATTATGGTTATTTTCCCCATCACTGGTTGTACCGAAGTTTTGCTTCAGCCTGGACTCCATTCGTGGACTTTTGCGACCATGTCCTCAGATTCGATTTCCCTTGTTGGCCGTAGCCGCTTTGCTAAGGTAAGAGCTCAGCTCGGTATATCTTATATTCTGGGAGGTATGAAAGCATTCAATTAGGACAAATAATGCTTCAGGCAGGAGGGCTTCTGGAGGGAAGGGCATCCTTTCCAAGAGTTCGTCATCACGGCAAACACTTCGGGTTGCAGTTCTCTCATCGCTTTTGGTTCGCAGGGTTGGGCTGCAAAAGCTGCGCAAGCTTGCGCAGGTCTATGCTTCTCCGAGTACGCCGAAAAGTTCCGGGGTCAGCAGCTAGTGGCCGGTGCACGGATAATTGTAGCAAATCCCACTTAGATACGGCTGCCCACTCAGTGAATAATCGCTACGATCACCTATAGCTGTGATACGGATCTTTACGGCCCTACAGTAAATTGTAGCCCTATGATCGTCTGTTACTGTGTGGGGTCACCCCAACTTAAATCCTCAACCAATAAACCCAATCTGGCAGCATGGACACCAATTAAGTTTGCAGCCCTTAGCTCTGGGGTAGTTCTACAAATTAAAACCCTTTTGGGGGCCCTCTTTCTGGGGTAATTGCCGTACGATTGTTGGGACCTAGCAAGGGTCCCGAAATTGGAGAGCCTGTTCTGGCCTGACACTCACAGCAGTTCCTCCACAATGTCAGTAACTAAGCACAACAACCTGCCTTTACGTCTTACTTCGAAGGAAAAAACCCTGAGACATCTTGAGTGGTCTTGGGTTGGGGTATGAGTCAGCTTGCAAAAATCTCCAGCCTCAGCCTTGGTGATCCCTGAGTCGTATCTCTTTTACGGCGGTTGGAATAAGTCAAACGACGTACTTTAGGGTTAGTGATGTTGGGGAATATGACTATTCTGATACACCCAAAACCCCTATTCTCGTGATTCAGGTCACTATATTTTATTAGTTTCCTTCCGGCTGCAGATCTGGGGTAGCACTCGAAGGTTCACGCCAGCCTTTCGGCTGGCTATAGCTACTCATGCCTCGCACTCTGAGTGTTTATAGCTCGGCTTAGAACATAGCCACGCCTGTGTCGAAAAAGCGATTACTAATAATGTGAAACCCACACTTAGAATTAGTCAGCCTTAAACCTCAAACCTTAAACCCTCCATCGCACTTTAACAAAAAATGAAAGCAAACTTTAAACCCTAGCGGGTAGCCGAGGCGTTAAGCACCAGATAGTCATGGACCGAACCCATGCGACGGAGAACAGCGAGTGCCTGGGCGCGGTGGGCTCTGGGGTTCGCGTGGGCTCAGGGTGATGCTTCAAGCTCAAATGCATGGAGTTGCAGGCCGTGGGTGAGGGCAGACTCGGCTTTATTTGTGGACTTGGAACAACCCCGTGCTAGGCTAATGGGTTGAGTTGAGTGAATGGGGAAGTTCTGCTAGCTGCGATGGACTCGGGGTCTGTGAACTTGATTTTCGAGGAATGGGTCATCAGTGTGAGAACGCCGGAAGTTTTTGAGTTTGAGAGACGTAGAATCGCAACTTCGGAAGCCTTGAACCCAAAGAGAGGTGCGACTTCGATGCGGCTGCGGAGGAGATTTTGAAGCAGGCGAAGGAGCGACCTGGATTTAGCAGCATTGTAGGTTTATGGCAATTTAGGTTTCTTGAAGCTTAAATGGTTGCCATAAGGGTACTACAGGGTTTTGGGGTTCAGGGTTATACGGGTTGTGGGCTGTCTAAACAGCACCCAGGGAAGGGGGGGAGCACCTTAGGGGTTCTCGGAGTTTGAAACTTGCAGTGTCGGTAGGTAGGTCTTTGGGACATTTTATATTTGCTCTTATTGGGCTTAAGAGGATCTTACCTACTAATATTTTTCAAAGGCTTAAAAAGCACCTCCTAGGTGGGGTTTGAGCCCAGCCTGGGGAGGGTTGTTAAGCTTCTCGAGCGTGAGGATGCCAGTGTGCATATTTCTGGAAGACGGTGTCTTGTTGTTATTCCTCTTCTCATGTTTTGTGTTATTCTTGTTCCTGAGAGACACCTTCAAAACGTAGAAGCATTTAGGAAGCCGGGCATCACCGTTTCCATTGTGCAGAAAGTCGGCGTTGTTCGAGAGCTAAGGGTATGGCCACCTATCCTCCTCCTCGGACCCACTACGACCAGGACTACTGCTACCACCACCACTACTGCTGCTGCTACTGCTCCCACTAAGAATTGCTTCTAGCAATTATGATTGCCATTATCATTGTATATATATATATACACATAAATATATATATACATATAAATATGTACTCTTTCCCATGATGATGAGTATTACTCTTATTGTTATCATGTTTGTTGCCATAATTATGAATAATAGTGCTTGTTATTGCTATTACTAGTCATTCTAATTTTCAGCACTTTATTTTCCTACTTTCAACTAGTGTTATACTGCTATTATCGTTATTTCAATTGTTATTATGTTGTTTGTTTACTTCTGTTCCTGGTACTGATTGTACACACCGGACTTGCTGTGCACGACTGTCCTGTGATGACCGAGCCTCGCAGCACTCTGCATGATAACCGATAACCACTTGCTGTGCCAAGGAACCCGTTGACGCCGTATTCGCCGTTTAATGCGATATGGAAACATCCCGAATCAGGCCAGAACGGTCAGTTTGGTCGTGACAACGGGGCCAGCGAAGGTTTGGGGTACAGCTTAGCAGTTGGGGCTGTGCATCCTAGTGAGATCCATCCAGGGACCAGCCACCGC